CACCCATATACTGCAGCCGTGAGACTCCCACCGTTCACTAGGGCTGCCTTTGTCCGCACTATCATGCACTGCCTGCTCTCGTTATGCCTGCCTGGCACACGCCACAGGATGAGCTAGACCTAAACTCGCTCCCCTGGGGCCGCACTGGCAGCCTCTGCTATGCTCTGTAGTGCCTGGTTCATCTCTCTTTCAGCAGACCAACCTGCACTGTCTGCAAGTTTAAATGTTTCCATCTCCTCCAACCCCAGAAGCTTCAGGAGGGCAGAGAAGGTCTGTCTGTCTCTCGCATGTACTTGTGCATCTTGCACAGGGTAAGCTTTTAATGTCATTTTCTCCCTCGTGGTTCCTACTTAGAACAAAGAACTCAGTCAACCTGTGCATCTTTCCTCTCTTTGCTACAACTTTCTAACCCTCACATTCCTATAGTCCCATAATTATCCCATTTTCTCCCCTCTGACTGCCCATCCTTCCAGATCTAGCCAAGATCGTGGACTAAGAATTTGATTATTCTGCAATCCTGCTGAACCCATCAGGCAAAACCTAAACTTGGATTCCTGTCTCCCTGTCCATCTCTTCTGCTCCTGCACCAACTGAGCGCTGATAAAGCAAAATAACCCAACTGTGCAGACGGAGCCCTGAGTTTGCAGTGGGGCCAAATGCACCTGGGAACCAGCACTACCATCCATCCTTTTCTTAAATATATTTCTTTATTGATTTCATAGAGGAAGGGAGAAGGAGAGATAGAAACATCAATGATGAGAGAGAATCATTGATCAGCTGCCTCCTGCATGCCCCCTTCTGGGGATCGAGCCCATAACGCAGGCATGTGCCCTTGGCCAGAATTGAACCTGGGACCCTTCAGTCCGCAGGCTGATGCTCCATCCACTGAGCCAAGTCGGCTAGGGCTCCATCCTTTTCTTGTTTTTGCTTCCCGTCCTCTGTCCTGATCCTAAGGGCCCACTCAAGGCCCTGAAACTCCCATTCTCAGCAGAGTTCCTGTGCCTATTTCACAGAAAAAGAAACCTCAAAGGTGACCTCCCTCTACCTCGCCCTGGAAGCTTTCTGCAGTCACACCCATGCTCACCTCTCTCCAGCCCCAAAGCCGCTTGGACATCTTTCACTGTACTGAAGGCCAATTCTGCTTCTAGCCCGTTGTCAAATGCCCCCTTCCCCATGACCCCTGCACTCAGCTGTTAGTGCCGGCTTTCCATCTTCAGCCTCCCCCTCTTCCGAGTTCTTCCTCTCAACCTATTAATTCAGACTTGCAAGTTCCTCTCAGCCCCCTTTTTTTCTCAAAAGAGAGGCCAGCTCCCATTGCCTTCATTCCCTCACCTCCTACTTACTCCTCAGTGCAATGACAAATCAGCTCCTACCCCACAACTTGTCTGAAACAGCGCACAGTGGGCCCACAATCAATACAAATCCAGTGGGCATTTTTGGGGTCTACTTATTATTGGACCTCATTGCTGCATCTGTTCATGCCCCTCCTCTTTATTAATCCTCATCCGATATCTATCTACATCTATATCATCTACATCTATATCTATCTATATATTTTTCCCATTGATTTTGAGAGAGAGTGGAAGGGAGGGGAAAGTCAGAGACAGAAACATCTATGTGGGAGAGACACATGGATTGGCTGCCTCCCGCAGGCGCCCCCACCAGGGGTGGGGATCCAGCCTGCAACCGAGGTACACGCCCTTGACCAGAATCCAACCCTCGACCCTTCAGTCCGCGGCCGATGCTGCAACCACTGAGCACACCGGCCAGGGCTTCCCGCTTCTTATCACTCTGTTCCTTTAACTATGTATATTGGCTCTTTTGGGTCTCCTTCCCCTGTTTGGAGGCTCATCCTCTCGGTCCTTCAGAAGCTCCTCTAACTTAAACGTTGGGGATCAAAGCTCCTTGCAATCGGTCCCCAAGTCACAGCTCCGCCTTTTGGTTCATGCACCGAAAACTGCTGCTTCCCGTCAGGCCGACCGGGCTGTTTCTTGCCTCCGCGCGCCTCTCAAGACGCTCTCCGCTGGGAGGATGCCCCCCTCGGGGACCGCCTCCCCCGCCGCCTCCTGCCAGGCTGGCTCCGATGCACCCTCAGACACCCCGGCAAGCCCCTACGCCCGATCACTCGGAAGGTGGTGTTTGCATAACAACTCGGGCTGTGAGCACCCCCAGAGCAGGGCTGTCAGACTCCTCCGAGGCCCCTCTCCCGGCCCGGCACCGAAAAGGCGGTAAGGTTTGTGGTAGAGACAAACCAAAGAGGATGAGAGGCACCTAAGAAAGACTGTGCTCGCAGCGCCAGGAACAGAGAACCAGGAAGGACTTGGCCGCGCGGCCGCTCACCGATGAGGATGGCGCTGTCCAGGTTTCGGAGCTGGGCCAACAGCTGCCCCCGCGCCTGGAAGATGGGCAGACTCCGGCGCTGCCGCTCCACCGCCTCGGGGTAGGGACTGGCCGAGGGCTGGGCCAGGGGCGGCTGCCGCCGCCGGCCTCCTCCTCCTCCTCCTCCTCCTCCGCCTCCGCCACCGCCGCCGCCCGCGTTCAACCGCATCACCACTTGCCTCCCGTCGTGGCTCGGAGGCCCAAGGCCCTGCCGGAATCTCTTAGGCGGCGGGAAGCCCGCCTCCTCGGGCATGTCGGGAGGGCGCAGAGACTGGGGGAGCGAGGGCGGGCAGCTCGCAGCTCCCGGGAGCCGGGTGCCAGCACGCACCGCCCCTTCTAGCCACGTGCTAGCCCTCTCGGCGACCAAGGGAGACCTCACGGCCTCGTCTCGCCTTTAGGGAAAGGACTACAACTCCCAGCATGCACTGGGAGCTTGGGAAGGCTTTCACTTCCTGAGGGCGAGGAGAGCAACATCCGCGGTACAACAAGAAAAGGGTCCGGAGCGACCACAGCTAAAGAAGGGGTGTACGGTTCCTTGGGACCTTCACCTTCCTTGGTTAATAAAGCGGTCTTCCAGTTTTATTGTGCTGGTAATACTAATTCTAGTAAACACACGTTTCCCCTTCTCCTTTCACAATAGTACTCGCTTTTCAAGGAAAATGCTTAATTTTAAAAAATCAATGAGGAACACAAACATTTGCAATTATTTAATCCTCTAAGCAATTTAATACTATTAGTCCCCAATTTGCAGACAAGAAACAGAGTCTCCAAAATTAAAGTCATTCACAGGTAAAAAAAAAAAAAAAAAAAAAAAAAAAAAATCAAATCAGAATGTTGAAAAGGATACTCGTGATCATCTTGCGTTGCAGAAAAGGAAAGCATTATATATTTTCTAATAATTCTATATTCTCAGAAAATGACTATCCCAAATGGAGTGTCATGTTCCTGTAATACAAGCAGGGAAAGAGGGATTTTAATGGAACTAAAATTGTATTTCCCCTTCCTTTCCTCCAACTATTCCTGCCAGGCTTTGAAGTTCTCTACAGTGCTTCCCAACACCCATCACACAAACACCAATCAATGAAGATTGCGAACTGCAGCAAGGGAAAGTAGGTTAAAACTAGTTTGTCTGTCCCTTCCTAAGTTCAAAGCTCTTAGACGATTTTCTAATTCACACAGAAAGACTGGCAAGCAGCCCATTTGCTCTGCATACAGGAAATTATATAAAAAGAATTTATCATTAGCTTCAACCCACATGAAGGATTTGAGGCATCCTCTGAAGTTCATCTCCATGACACTTATATTTGTAAACCTGTTAAAAATTCTCCTTTCCCCTTCCTCTAGATCTGAGGCAATTTTCCTTTAGTTGCTGACAGTATAGTGATCAGGGGTTACTGAAAAAGTACATGTTGAACTAATAGCAAATATGTCTTTAAGAATTGGCAAAATTTCACTTCTTGCCCTTAAAAAATTGAGAAAGACGACCCAAAACTAAAAAGGAAAATAAAATACCAAATAGAACTGCTATAACAAAATACCACAGACTAGGTAGCTTACAAACAACAGAAAAGTATTGCTCAGTTCTGGAGGTTGGATTCCAAGGTCAAGGTGTCAGCATGGTTGCCTTTGGCTGAGGGCCCTCTCCCTGTTTCATTGCTGCTCCTTTCTTGTACCCTCAGGTGAAGGAAGGGGGTAGGGATCTCTGGAGCTTTTATATAAGGCATTAACCCCATTAATGAGGAATCTACCTCATGATTTAAGTACCTCACAAAGGCCCCTGCCTCTTAATGCCATCACATCAGGGATTAGGATTTCAACCTATGAATTTGGGGTGGGGACACAAATATTCAAATCATAGCAATAACTGAATGTTAACTCAATTTATGGACCTGGAGTATGTAAAAGACCTCGGTCTTTTTTCCCAGTGTGCTTTCCTGAGTAAGCTAATGAAGGAGACATGTGCTCCACATGATTATGAGTCCAGGTAGGTAATATGCATGAGTAAAATCATTGCCTCATAGAGAACATTCCCTGACTCTAGAAGCAGCCACTAGTGATCTCTGGGCAATAGCTGCCACGCAGGCTGGGTATTGCCAGACCTTCCCATTCTTTTCAAGGAAAGTAAAAAAATGAATGTTTTCATGTGAAATCTGTCCTTTTTATTTTTAAAAATGTTTTTATTGCCCTACCCAGTTTCTCAGTGGTTAGAGCGTTGGCCCGTGGACTGAAGGGTTTGGGTTCAATCTGGGTAAAGGGCACATACCTTGGTTGCAGACTCAATCCCTGTCCCTGATCAGGCTATGCAGGAGGCAACCAATAGATGGGTCTCTTCCCCTCCCTTCTACTCTCTCTAAAAATCAATGGGAAAATACTCTTGGGTGGGGATTTAAAAATAAAAGTAAAATGTTTTTATTTTAGAGAGAGAAAGGATGAGGGAGAGAAACATTGATCAGCTGCTTCCTGCATGCCCCACACTGGGAATCAAGCCCTCAACCTGGGCATATGCCCTGACCAGGAATCAAACCGTGACCTCCTGATTCATAGGTTGATGCTCAACCACTGAGCCACACTGGCTGGGCCATTAATCTCTCTTTAATTAAAAATACCAGATAATAGTTTGCTGATCAATAAACAAAGTATTTATTCAGCACCCATGTGCCGAGCACTATGCCAGGCACTGTGGTGGATACAAAAATTTAAGACATGGTCCCTGCCCTTAAGGAGCTTACATTCTCATGAGGGAGGCAAAACTAATATACATGTACCAGCTAGAAACAGTACAAAACAATATATAATTTCGTGTAAGAGTATATCGTAGACTTGAAGCTTACAGGGATTCAAAGAAGAAAGACAAAATTTCTTGAGGAGTTGGAAAGGGGTCAGGCCTTGAAGGACTGACGAGACTAAACTGAGGTTCCTGTTAGAAGTAGGAGTAAGGTTCAGAGAAAGGCAAAAGGTATGCATTTGATATGGGGGCTAAGAAGTCACTGTGGATTTATGAGCAGAGAAATGACTTGATCATAAAAAGTTCACCAGCTTTCATGCAAATTAACATAATAAGCAAATAGCTTAGGGGACATCCTACAGGACACTGGAAACAATGGCATTTTGTGACTAGAGTACAGATGGAACTCATCTGTCAAAGGAAAACACAGCCGCAACGTAAAATGCAGGCTATCAAGGATAGATGACAACTCTAGGAAGCCCTTTATGCAACATGCCAATAGCTCCCATATTTCCTAATTCCCATCGACACCAGAGGCGGAGTGAGAGCTTCATTACCAAAATCCAACACTTGGGCGCTCTCTGCTTAGAAAGACTACACAAGAGGTATGAAAGAGATTAGGACATATAAGAGCGACACAGAAAAAGAATAAGTGGAAGAGGGAAATGTAAATCCATAGTAAAAACAAACAAACCCCACACCAAAATGTATATAAAATGTTATCTCCTAGGGAGATGCAATTTGTATGCCCATTTAAAAAAAAAAACCACCACGAACATGTATTGTATTTCTACAACAAAAAAAACTATGCCTTAGTCAGGTGTGCTTATCAGTATTAATGGTAGAATTCAAGAATCCCTTAAATTATGTTAGGTAAATGGTCACAAAATTCCATACACTGAATCTCATTTTTCAGTTGATTTGCATTATGAAAAAGAAGGGTGTTCTGGAAGAATCGAGACTGAGAGGTAAGTTGGAGAAGAGGTGAAGACTTTTCCTTATGTTCAGATAACAGGTAACCTGTTTACAAGGGCTAGGGATGGTGGTAGTGGGAATGGCCAACCTGGTAAGAGGACAGTGACTGAAGTGACCACTGCCACAGTGGAATTCTGCCACTAGGATTCTCATACCACAGAGAAATCAAAATCCCATAAATGACTGTGTATAGGTCATCAATTCGGAATTGGTTTCCAGTTTTACCCAGTCATTAATATGTACACATTCCCTACTTAAATGAACTCAGTGAATAGATTTTAGGATTAAAATTTTACCACAAGAATTCCATAAATTGAATAACTGAAAGTTAACTAAGAGAGAACAAATAAAACTAGAGAAACTCATTTAAAAAAATAAACAATTTAAAAAAACCTTCTAATTAAATTCAAGCTTTCTTGAATAAAGACATAACAAGTTAAGAATCCCATAAGGATTCTGCATTCCAAGATTGGCATTTAAATATTTTTTTAAACCACTTTGGAAAAAAAGCAGTCCCGTTAACCTATACTCTATAAAATCACAACAATCATATTCAAAGTTACTAACTAGCAGCATTAAAACACTTAAATTCCATTTCTTATGCACATTCCATTTAGACATTAAAATACTATTCACTTCAAAATCTGAAAATTCCCATTTAGAATGTTTGTTTAATCTAAAGCATCATCTTTGAGGGAAATCTCACTCTAGAAAGCTACCACTTAACCAGTCTGCAACTACTTAGGAAGAAGTCCTGTGCCTATGTGGTGTTCATTAAAACTATTTTGAAATAATCTTTTCTTGGGATGCCATTTTAGTCCTCTGAATTATTTGGGCATGTGATGCAAACCTGCTGAGACCCAGGGAAGCAAATATTTTGGATATTTATTGAACCCTATGCATGAAGTTCCTATTTCTGTGGAACCCAATTTCTACTTGGTTTGGAAGATAAACCAGGTACTTGGCTCTGAGAAGCTTCTTAGCTTTTCATGAAGCAAACGGCAAATGTTAACCAGCCAAAGGCTCAGGAGAAATATATCCCCGTCTAACCGGTACCTTGTTCATCTGGCTCCAAAGTCAACATTGTAACTTGATGTCCGGTCTAAAGATCCTTCTGAGGTTTTCCAAAGGTGGCGATGTGCCTTCCCCTGGATTTCTTAATGGAGAAACGCAGAACAAGTAAGATGCCACATGAACTTTCTACCTATAATTGAACTGTCTGTTATCTGAATTCCTGCTGTTATAAGAACCACCCTACTGCCCTGGCCAGTGTGGCTCAGTTGGTTAGAGTATCATCCTATGCATTGAAGGGTTGAGGGTTCAAACCCCGTTGCTGTGTATACTGGAGGCAACTGATCCATGTTTCTCTCTCCCATCGATGTTCCCCTTTCTCTCTAATCAATGAAAATATCCTCAGGTGAGGATTAAAAAAAAAAAGGAACCACCCTAACCCACACCATCTGACAACTTGACGTTTTGTAAAACCCCGATGAGAACAAACTGTCTGCACAACATAAACAAATGTTCCTACTGGAGCTGCCATTCTGAATGAGTAAGATGTATCTACAGTCGCATATTATCAGCTGCACATTTCCAATCTTGAAATGAAATCCAGTCGACAGCTGTGGAGACACACGAAGAGTGGGCATGTAAACTGCTCCGAGCTCAGACCTATGCAGGAGAGCTGGAATACAATCTCATCATGTAAAAGATCACACACAAAAGCTTTAATTAGTGAGAGAGAGATGGAACTGCGTTTTATTTTGTCCTCTCTGAAACTTCCATTTACACCATGGCCTCGTCTATCAAAGAGGAGGAGGAGGAGGACAGAGCTCTGCCTTTCACCACAGAACTCAGCACGCATGTACTTGTTCGAGAGAGGCGGCAGGGTATGTTTCTCCAGTTTTTGGCTCCGAGAGATTACACTTTCAGTACCAGTGCAGTGAGGAACCACCGGCAAACTGCTGGAAATATCTTCTGGATTAATCAGTGTACCATTTCATAAAGTGCTTCTGGAGTTAAAATCTGTCAAGCTGTCAAAAGTGTCCACACTTTTGCAACACAAAGGATAAAAGAATCCCAATGGTATGTCGTGAGTCCTTCCTGGCTGGGTCTCGTTATTGGCACTGCTGCTTTACCCGCCGAGGCGCTGGCCCTCACCCCAGGCGAAGCCTCCTGGCCGCTCTTCAGGTAGTGGATTGTAATTTGGATCCTCATCTGGTGTATCAAAAATAGCTTTCCTAAAAAACAGGAAACCGATATAATTTAGTCCCAGAATCATCTCAGGTCCTAAATGTTGCAAGGTCGAAAAGATTCCCTGAGTTTTCAACCAATGGATTAGCATTACATCTGCCTACCAATGAAAAAGTTATATATTTTCAAAGGTATTTACAATTATTTCATATTTATGTTAGCTTTTACCTCCTTTACTAATTTTAAGAGAAAAGGAGGAAGGGAGACAGAGAGAGAAATACCATTGGTTGCCTCCTATATGCACCCTGACCAGGACTGAACCTGCAACCTGGATATGTACCCTGACCAGGAATAAAGCCAGCAATCTTTCTATGCATGGAATGATGCTCAACCAACTGAGCCATATTGCCCAGGGCCTCCTTTACTCAAAGAAAAAAAAACACGTTTTTTTTTTGTTAATCCTCACTTGAGGATATTTTTCCATTGATGTTCTAGAGTGGAAGGGGGAGAGAGAGAGAAAGAGAGAAAGAGGAGAAGGAGAGAGAGAGAGAGAGAGAGAGAGAGAGAGAGAGAGAGAGGCATCGATGTAAAACACTTAGATTGGTTGCCTTCTGAACGCGCCAGGGATCAAACCCGCAACCCAGGTATGCGCCATTGACCAGGGATTGAACCCTTTGGTGCACTGGTTGATGCTCCAACCACTGAGACACAAAGGCCAGGGCTCCTTTACTAATTTATTTATTTATTTTAATTTTTTAAAATTTAATTTTTTTTACTAAATTTTTTTAAATATATATTTTTACTGATTTCAGAGAGGAAGGGAGAGGAAGAGGGATTAAAAAGTCAAAGATAAGAGTAAATAATAATAATAATAATTTTTTTTTTTTTACAAAGAGGAAGGGAGAGGGATAGAGAGTTAGAAACATTGATGAGAGAGAAACATCAATCAGCTGCCTCCTGCACACCTCTTACGGGGGTTGTGCCCGAAACCAAGGTACATGCCCTTGACCGGAATTGAACCTGGGACCATTCAGTCCACAGGCCAACGCTCTAGCCACTGAGCCAAACCGGTTAGGGCAAGAGAGAATTATTGATTGGCTACCTCTGCATGCCCCCTACTGGGGATCGAGCCTGCAACCTGAGCATGTGCTGTGACCTCCTAGTTTATAGGTCTACACTTAACCACTGAACCACACTGGCCAGGCTCCTGTACTAATTTTTAATACAAAAGCAATACATGTTAATTACAGAGAAGACAGGAAATATATGAGTAAAATATCCAAAATTCCCAGAGATAATCATTTTTGATGTTTTCCTTTTTCTTCCAGAACTTTTATATATTTAATTTTACAAAACCTAGACCACACTCCTGTTTTGTAACCTGATTTTCACCAAATTTATCATGGATGTCTCCCCACAATCATTGACAGATGAATGAATAAACAAAATAGAATATACATGCAATGGAATATTATTCAGCCTTACAAAAAAAGGAAATTTTGACACATGCTACAACAGGGATGAATCTTGAAAGCAGTATGCTAAGTGAAATAAGCTGGTCACAAAAGGACAAATACTGCATGATTCCACTTACATGAGATACTTAGAGTAGTCAAACTCATGGAGACAGAAAGTAGAAAGTAGTAGTTGTGAAAGGATGGGGGATAAGGAGACGGGGAGTTATTGTTTAATGCAGCGGTCGCCAACCGGTGGTCCGTGGACCACTGGTGGTCTGTGAGGTCTGAAAAGTTGGCGATCGCTGGTTAAATGGGCAGAGTTCAGTTTTACAATATGAAGAGTTCTAGGGATGAATGGTGGTGATAGAAGCACAATGTGAATGTACTTAATGCCAGTGAACTGTACCCTACAAGTGTATAAAATGATAAATTCTATGTTATATGTATTTAATCACAATTAAAATTTTAAATAAATTAAATGTCCAAAAACTTTAAAGCAGCATCTTCTATTTATATTCATATTTCTAATTGTACTTGCCCACAGTTGATAAAATCAGAAGTGTATCTGAAAACTTCTATTATATATTGGGCTCAGGAAAAGAATCTGTATTTTAATATGAGCTCCTTCAATTCTTACAAATTAATAATAAAAACAGGAGCATTTGAGATCTTGGTTCCCAGGATGTCATCAGTTTGATACAAATAAACTCTTACAAAAATTCTCTACAGGTTTGGACAATTCTAATATGAACACAACTTACTTTCAATTTTGTCCCCAATTTCAGGCAGACTACAGTAAACATCATCTCCCAAAGCTTCCTGTGCAAAATTGTTGATCCCACTGTTCCAATGAATACTTACTCCATCCTCTTACCCAATAAAGATACCCAAGATGCCCCCCAGTGATCTTTTCACAACCTGCTTAAAATCTTCTCCCCTCCCCCACACTGTACAACCTCCTTCAGTGTTCACAGCCCACAACTGGGCAATGGTTCAAGGCTGCATTTTCCTCTGCATGGGTACCCTATGAGAGGCCCATAGCGAAATCCACTACCATGCTCAACCTATTTAAAATCTTTTAATAGGAGTTGTGCCGAGAACCTTTGCACTCCTGCGAACCAACGTGGAGCTCTCAGGGCTGGGAGCCTGCAGGCAGCGACCTGCAACGTGAGTGCCATCTCAGTGCCCACCACACCCTGCATGTGGTCCTGGGGCCTGAGGGAGGGCGATGGTAGGAGGCTGTGCACTGGCCCCAATCTGCTCTCAGTGCATAAGTTCACAGACAAACATGAATGAATAACAACAGAAAATGGTATTGGAACAGGGGGATCAACAATTTTGCACAGGAAGCTTTGGGAGATGATGTTTACTGTAGTCTGCCTGAAATTGGGACAAAACTGAACTAACAAGATGAGTTTGGTGTTTTGAAAAGTGTGAAAGCTGCTAGTGAACTCTACTCTCCTCTACCAGGAGAATTAACTGAAATTAATGAAGCTCTTGCAGAAAATCCAGGACTTGTCAACAAATCTTATTATGAAGATGTTTGGCTGATGAAGATGACACTGAGTAACCTTTCAGAACTAGATGAAATAATGAGTGAAGCAGCATGTGAGAAATACATAAAAGCCCGGCCTGTGTGGCTCTGTGGTTGAGCATCAACTTATGAACCAGGAGGTGACAGTTCAATTCCCAGTCAGGGCACATGAGTGGGTTGCAGGCTTGATCCCCAGTAAGGGGCGTGCAGGAGACAGCTGATCAATGATTCTCTCTCATCATTGATGTTTCTCCCTCTCCCTTCCTCTCTGAAATCAATATAAATATATTAAATTAAAAAGGAAAAAGTGTAACTTTACAGTGGAGAAGCCTCACTGACACCTTAAACAATCAGTGATTATTACCACTTTGACAAATTCAACAACCTGAAATCCTGTCCTAATAGGCTGCAATTAGAAGAATGCAACGTCACCTCTCAACATTCCTGCCAAAGATGCAAAACCTGAACCTAAATGTGAAAGAACATTAGTCAAAATGGGCCTATAATCTTCACAAATGTCTATGTCATGAAAATCAAGGAAAGCCTGAAGAGCTGTTCCAAACTGAAGGCGACTAATGAGACATAACTAAATGCAACCTCTAGAGCTGAGCTAGATCAAGAACAATGAGGACAACTTCCCAGTGTGGAACAGGGTTTCAGGATTAACGTTCGTTTACTGATTTTGACTGTAGAAGAAACGTCCTTATTTATAAAAAACACAATTAAAGGGGGTCATGGGGCATTATACTGACAATGTACTTTCCCCCCTTACCCAAGGGGGTAAAATCCTTTGTCCACGATCTTATGGATATCAAACTAGGAAAGAGTAAATATGATACCCCCTGCGTTTGACGAGGATGTGGGAAAGGAACACTTCATATGTTGCTGGTAGAAATGTAAACCTGAACATCCATTCTGGGTGGCGATTTATCAATAAACAAAATAGCAATTCCACTTTTAGGAATTTAACCTTGGAAAATAATCATGGATGTGTGCAAACATTTAGCTACAGGGATATTCATGACCCTAATCATAGAAGGGAAAAGCAAGAGCTAATGTCAATGTCCATCAGTAAGGGATTAGTAAAATTATGTTATATTCATACCAGGTATATTGTGTAGCTGTCACAATTTCGTAGAACATTTATGATGGAAGAACAATTATGACACATTACTTAAAAAGATTATAAAAAGCATTTTTAAAAAGTACACAGACAATAAAAGACTGACGAACACATAAAAAAGTTAACAATGTTAGATCTAAGAAGTGGGATTATGGAGAATTTTGCTTTCTTTATTTTGTTTAACTATTGTATAACCAACATTTTATAATATAAAACTTACATTTCATTCCTCAAGTGAACTTTTTAATACAGTATATCCCCAGGACGCAAAATTCTGGAGTAGAAAGAGGTCTTATGAAAGCTCTATCCCCAGGAAAAATGAAGTGCAAAAAAGAAGGGACTTGCTTAAAATCACAGGGCTGGTTGGTGGAACGGCCTACACCTGGTTTGTAGCCCAAAGCTATTTCTACTCTAAGGCTTATCTCTACCACTGTTTGTATTTTTTGATTTAAAGATTTTTAAATTATTATTGACTTTTAGAGAGAGAGGGAGAGAGGAACATCAATGTGAGAGAGAAACACTGATCAGCTGTCTCCTGCATGCTCCCTACCGGGGATTGAGCCTGCAACCTGGACATGTACCCTGCCTGAGAATTGAACCAGCAACCTTTTGCTGCAAGGAATGATGCCCAACCAACTGAGCCACACCGGCCAGGGTACTGCCACCTGTTTGGAAGGCCAGAAACTCCACCATTAAAAACTTTCCTCTAGAACAGTGGTTCTCAACCTTCTGGCCCTTTAAATACAGTTCCTCATGTTGTGACCCAACCATAAAATTATTTTCGTTGCTACTTCGTAACTGTAATGTTGCTACTGTTATGAATCGTAATGTAAATATCTGATATGCAGGATGGTCTTAGGTGACCCCTGTGAAAGGGTCGTTCGACCGCCAAAGGCGTCGCGACCCACAGGTTGAGAACCGCTGCTCTAGAAGGTTTTGCCCATTCTGCTCTTAGCTCTCTATAAACGCAGCAGCTTTCATAAACCCACAGGCTCCTCTCTGGAGCAGGAGGTGCTAGTGGTCATCCTGGACAGCAGTTAACAAGTCAGCCTCGGGACATCCTGAGCCTGTGAGCCTCCCTCCTGCCACCAGCCTGGCACTGTCTGCTCCTCCCACACAAACACTCCTCAACTGCCGCGAGATGGCTCAATCTGTAAATATTTACTGACCTGAACACTGATCATGGACCTTGTAACAAAACATGTAACTTGGCGTTAAGTACTCACAAAATAGATGGTGTTTTCAGAATTCTTATTCCACCAGGCTGATTGGGAAATACATCTTCCAAGAAAAAATATATGTGTCCGACTGCAATACCTAAAGTCAACCAGAAATAAAGGAGGGAGAGGATTAAAATTTTAATTGCAAGGGAATCTACCAACACAAATTCCTTATATTTAGGAAGAAATATCAGTATAGTAAGAATTAGAAAACTAATATTATAATCTTTGAGCATATAACTATTAAATAATCCCGTAATAGCTATTATATGAAGGCCAAGCATGAAAAATAGTGACAAAATAAGTTTATAAGTAACGTAATAGAAAAGCAGTGATAAGACTCTTACCCAAGAGGTCCACAATGATTGAGTTCCCCAACAACAAGGAAAAGCCCATGAGCACCCAGGGCAGGAAGGGGGCCTGGAAATTGAGAAGGCCGAAGAAGTTCATGCGGACATACGGGTTCCTTCGGCTCCACACGTAGACAAGCATTATTGTAAAGGCCTGGCCCAAGAAAACTAAGCTCACAAACAAACCAAAAATCTAGCAGATGGCATTAAGGAAAATATCAACATTAAAATGTAATAGGGAAGACTGGGCAAGAGAACTAAGGATTGTGTTCTAACAAAAGTCTGAATTAGGAAAGCTAAGCATTAGTTACTTACATCTTTAGAAGAAAAAGGCCTGAAAATAATTCCCCAGAGCAAGCAGGCAAAAACCTGCTTAGGCCAAATTATCTGGATTTCAAAGTGTTATTCTGCTTTCATGAAGTTTTTGTCTTTTTGGAAAATGAGTTAATTATTTGGTCAATAATTGAACTGAAGTTCACTCACCATTAGCACCTTTACAGAGGGTGAATAAAGCCAACTGCAGCAAAACCATCTTGTCAGACGGACTACATTCAAGTCTGTAATATGGTTGACAATTCTTTCTTTTTTTAAATAATTTATCAGTTTTGGTAGTAACCAAATAAATGTCTTACCAACTTTATTTAGAAGTGAAGCACACCATGAACAATAATAAAGGGTACCCCAAAAAATGTATATACATACTTTGAATAATTATAAAGGCAGTGTTTATTAAAATACACTTCACTTTCCAAACTGAAAATGTTGTTAAAGAGTATGTATACATTTTGGGGGGGAAATACACACACACACACCACATCTTCTTTATCCATTTATCGACTAGCAGACAGTAACCTACCTTGGTTAGAAGTTCCTCTGACGTGCTCATAGTAGAAAAGCATCCTGTCTAACCACTAGGCTTAGAAACTGTCACATAAAGTGTGCTGTACAATAAACAGCAGTACCCTCAAGCTAAAGTCTGGAGGTCTCTGCTTATTCAGAATATCTAGTGAATTGTGGGAGACAGATGAAAAACTTAAGAAAGAGAGAGGTTGGTAAATTTTCCTGTTTGGTCTATTTGTTGAAGGATACAGTCATTAAAAATCCACCAAAAAGGAACATAAATACAAAGTCTGCTGTCCGGCCTCGGAAAGAGCCTTCTTCTAGCATTCGACAGTAACGGTATCTTAGGTTCCAGGTTAAGAAAATGTTAAGCACACAAACATGAAGGAAGTAAAATTTAATGTATCATGTACATTAATGTAATACTTGGACTCCATATCATTTATAAGTCAAGCCTTTTTTTGTAAGAATGTTTATAAGTGGTAGGATGGTTACTTCTCTCTACATTTTATGCAACTTCATATTTTACAAAAACTGTTCCGAATTGGGGAATCAAGCCAGATGCTGGATAAACATTCCTCCAGTCACCTATTAAACCCTTTCAAACTTGTATCATCTTTTCCACGTCCAGCCACACCACAGTCTGCGTCGCCCTTGCTTTTGCACACCTAACTTGGAAGAAATCTGCATCAGGAAGCCTTGAGTGGTAATCTACTTCTTCAGGCTGGTAGAGTATTTCTATATCTCAGTTAATGAAGTTGCATTTTGATGAAAAAATTTAATTATTAGAAACTTACCAGAATATACCATATAGGAGACACAGGAATCCATCCTAGGGCAGGAATCCTGTCACCCCCTACATGGCTCTCAGGCTACTGCAGGTTGAGGTGAGCTGTCCCTGCCCTCTTTCCAGAGGGTCAGGGTGGAGGAGGAAGATCTGCTCAGTGGCCCCAATTACCATATGACCAGAGCACAGCTCTTCCTGTCTCTCAATAAACTGGAACACGGCAAGCCTGGCAGACATTATGGCTCTGTCTTTTCAGCCAGTAGAACCAGCAACTAAGATACAAGATCTCAAGTTTCCATTCTTCATGAATCCACTCCCAGACCTGTATCAAAGCTCTATCAATTATCACTATATTCAGCTTGTGTTTTACTACTTAGTTTCTGTTGATGTTGCTTTCTAAGCATGCATCAATCAAATCACTCCTCTCCCTTGATCAGATTTGCAAGTGACTTAGAGGCAGACATGTATTCATTTTATGGTTAAACTACAGGCCTGATGCACAAAATTCGTGCCAGAGTAGGCCTTCCTTCCCTCTGGCTGCTGGCACCAGCTTTCCTCCAGCACCCGGAGCCCGAGCTTCCCTCCGGCCCTTGGCAGGCACCTGGGACCTGGGCTTCCCTTGCAGGGGGAAGGAATTAGCATATTAGCTTTTACACTTTTATTAGCGTATTACACTTTTATTATTATAGATACCTCCCCTTTGAACCAGCAGTGACCTACAAACACCCTCAAAACATTACTATCTGACCAACTACTCTGCACCATTGAACCAGCACCTAGAAGTTACAGCTAAAATGTCAACAAAGCCTTAGCTGGTTTGGCTCAGTGGACAGAGTGTTGGCCTGTGAACTGAAGAGTCCTGGGTTTGATTCTGGTCAAGGGCACATGTCCAGGTTGCAGGCTTGATCCCCAGTAGGGGGTGTGCAGGAGGCAGCCAATGAATGATTCTCATCATTGATGTTTCTATTTCTCTCTCTTCCTTCCTCTCTGAAATGAATAAAAATATATTTTAAAAAAATAACATGGTAACAAAAATAACAGGATTAATAGTTTCAACTTAGTATTGTATTTCCTAAGTGAACCTAAAGTTTTTATGCTAACCCCACTTAATAAAGGATACAGAAATATCATGTTAAATAAAAAATTGAATCCAACAGGCCCAAAAAATAAAAAATTGGTGATTAGCCTCCATATCTGTTAAAAGAAAAAAAATCAAGAGAGAGGTAGATTAAGTAAAATATACCAAGAAACACTTCCATATTAAGACAAAAGAGATATCCTCTGACTATGATGGTTGAAAGGCCATGGCTAGGTGATACGATGTTCTGAACCAAAAAGTGGGGCACAAAATCTGACACTGGATTTTGAAAGTCTGAATGATGTCACTCAACTCCTGAAATCTGTAACGATAATAGGACAGAAATCTTGAAATTGTGATTGTCTTCAAAAATACAAAACAAAAAAAAGCCCACACCTGCGCCCTCTCCCTCTCGGGAGCACACCTGCTCCTGAGCCTTTCTGGTTCCTTCCTCCCCCCAGGCACCTGGTACCTTTGTCTTTCTCTCTCCTAAGCTCCAAGGGTCCTTATCTTTTGCTTCTGTAACTTGTTTCCCGAACCTACACAGCCCAGCTGGCTCACTTCTACTACCTCTGTAACTTTCTAAATAAACTTTCTCTTATAATTTGGGAGAAAAAAAATGCCCACACCACATGGTTAGGCAAATTATAGAAAAAATTTGATGAAAAGACTAGGTTAATTTGCATATTAGAAAACAGTGCTTTCATATATGTAGTATCACAATTTAATGAATAGTCTTGAGACACCAGAGAAAAACTCCAGGGATCTAATACAAATTACTAAAAAATGTTTCTATATTAAGGAGCCCACAACACCCAGAGTAAAGAGTAATTGTAAAGCAAATATTCAAATTCTAGTCTGAACAAATAGCTAACTCCCGCCCTGGCCGAGTAGCTCAGTTGGTTAGAGCATCTTCCCAATACGCCAAAATTGTGGGTTCAATATCCAGTCAGGGCACATACAAGAAGCAACCAATGAATGCATTTAAAAAAAAAAAGCCAACTTCCTACAAGTAAAGACCTAATGCTCTAATAACTAGAGTCTACTCTGGAGATATAAGGACACTCATGTTCTTGTTGAAAACTGCTCTTCCCTACCCGACCCATGGAGCTCACAATAAAAACAACTTCTCACAATGGTAGAGCACTTCACATTTTAAAGTAGTTTAACATATCCTAGTAGCTCATGTGATCTTACTCTTGTTTCCACCATTCCCATTTCATACTAAGAATACTTTTAAAATGGCTTGCCTAAGAACACATAAATTGTAAAGGGAGACTCTGAACTCCAACCTAAAACTTCTAACTCCTAATGCAGATTCACTGTATCAAGAGTTTAACTCCAGGCAAAATCAAGCCAAGCAATTATTAACCTGAAGCAATACTTGGGTGGAGCTACAGCACCAAGCAAAGGCCATGAGTATCAAAGGAAGAAGACATGACAAGAGTCCCCAGGGCTGCTTTAAGTATTATTAAACTCTTAAGAACTGCTAACTAATAAAGTTGAAACAATTCAGTTCTGCAGTCCTAGACTTTAGAGCCTGCAATCTAGCCAGGACACAAGCATACAAACAAGTGCAAGTCTGAGATAAGAGAGGCTCTAAAGGAGTGGTTCTCAACCTCCACCTGCTGTGACCCTTTAATACAGTTCATGTTGTGGTGACCCCCAATTTTATTGTTACATATTGAATATAATTAAAGCATAGTGATTAATCACAAAAACAATATGTAATTATATATGTGTTTTCCGATGGTCTTAGGCGACCCCTGTGAAAGGGTCGTTCAACCCCCAAAGGGGTCGAGACCCACAGGTTGAGAACCGCTGCTCTAAAGGAAGCATTTACAAATACCCTAGGGACACAAAAGAGATGGTTACATAAAAGCTTCTCTTGAAAGGCAAGCTGGAATTCAGTGGGTATAAAGTGAATGAAACACACTTGAAACAGTGAATAGCATGTATAGAGGCAGAATTACTGGTTTTTGGGTCTCTCTCCCATTCCAACTATAGCCTATATGAACATCCTGGAGCAGGAAAGACATCTCTCTTTTAGCACTGTCATTACTGGAAAGGACTACCTTCCACTCAATCTAACAAACTGGCATGTCGTTTAAGATGTCAATCTTTTGAGTTTTTGATGGATCACCTTAAAAGCACTAACAGAGGAAAGAGCATTTGAGATCTTGCTCCCCACCCCCACACTGGCATATTTTGTCAGTTCGGCTTAAATAAATTCTTATAAAAGTTCAAAAATAAGTAAATAAAATAAAAGCACAAATAGAGTTGAAGGTCTTTCCCTCCAGGAGGCACACTCACACCTTTCCCTTCCCCCACTTTCCCCCCCAGGCACCTGTTAACTTTTGTCTTTCCCTCTCCTAAGCTCCACGGGTCCTTCTTTTACTTCTGTAACTTGTTTCCTGAGCCTATGCAGCCCAGCTGGATCACTTATTTTTTTAAACTTTATTTATTGATTTTAAAAATTTATTTATTTACTTAATTGTAATCCTCACCCAAGGATATGTTCAGGGAGAGAAAGGGAGAGAGGGAAGGAGAGGAAGAAAAGGAGGGAGGGAGGGAGAGAGGGATGGGAGGAGAAAGAGAGAGAGGGAGGGAGGGAGAGGGGGAGGGAGGGGGAGGAGAGAGGCAGGGAGGGAGGGAGGGAGGGAGGGAGGGAGAGAGAGAGAGAGAGAGAGAGAGAGAGAGAGAGAGAGAGAGAGAAACTCAATGTGAAAGAGAAATATTGATTGGTTGCCTCCTGTATACCCCTGACCATGAATTGAACCCCAACCTAGGTAAGTGCCCTGAACGGGAATCAAACCTTCAACCTTTTGATGTACAAGATGATGCTCCAATCAACTGTGCCACCCAGCCAGGGCTATTTATTGACAAGAGAGAGAGAGAGAGAGAGAGAGAGAGAGAGAGAGAAAGAGAGAGAGACAGAGAGACAGAGAAACACAGACCTGTTGTTCCACTTATTTATGCATTCATTGGTTGCTTCTTGTATGTGCCCTGACCAGAGATCAAACCCGCAACTTTGGTGTAACCAGACACCGCTCTAACCAACTGAGCTACCCGGCCAGAGCTTGTAACTTTCTAAATAAACTTTCTCTTACAATTTGAAAATAAATAAATGAATAATAAAATGCACTGATAGAGCTGAATTCCAGAACTGGACAATGGTGATAACACCAAGGTGGTGGGTGTGCCAGGCGGCAAATGCACAAAATAAAGGGAGAATCTTGTGAGATTCTCCCTGGTCAGTCTCTCAAATCCAATATTAACTCTGAACTAGTGATTCCTAAATATAGGAACTGGACACATCAAAGCAAATCCATGCAGGGAACTTTAAAAAACTCCACACAGATTCTTAATTCCTAACCTTGGTTATTCTGACTTAGTACATGAGGAGGAGCTTGAGAATCTCTTAAACATTCCCAATGAGGCCGCAGAAACACTGTTTATACCTCCCACAATAAGACTTATAATCAGACATTCCCACTGATTTCTCTGAATTCTTTTTTGAGGTAGTATATAGCAGGCTTTGCTATTAAAAAGTAAGAAAAACAAGTTTAAAAACTGAAACATCATGACTGCGACGGACCACTTACTTGGAAGTGTTTAAAGATTAATTCAGGGTTGAAGTACAGCTGAAAAGGTGTGATCAGTTCCAACTGCTGAAATAGAGAAAGAGCTCCTTAAGCAAATCAAACCAAGAAGTAAAATTTCATCATCTACGATGAAGGAAGGATTAGTAGGGCTAGCAATTTCCAACTCTCAGTCACTTAGACTGAATTCTTTAAAGCCGCCGGGAGAGGCTGGTAAAGAATTCTCTATGACTGGTACAATTCTGTGTGTCCTCAATACCCAACACAGAATGAAAGTCTGTTCTAAATTGCAGTAGTTGAGGCTGGCCTGAAGGCATGGGAGGCAGGTGGTGATATACATCTTAGATATGGGTCAAGTAATGAGCGGCTGCTCCGAATATGCCCTACAGTTGGGTGAAGCAACACATCTCACTCAAAAGAAATGAGACTCGCCCGGCCCCGCCAGCATGGCCCAGTGGTTGAACATCGACCTACGAACCAGGAGGTCACAGTTGGATTCCCAGTCGGGCCACATGCCCGGGTTGCCGGCTTGATCCCCAGTGGGGGGCGTGCAGGAGGCAGCCGCTCAACGATTCTTTCTCATCATTGATGTTTCTATCTCTCTAAAATCAATAAAAATATATATTTTTAAAAAGAAACAATACTCAAGACCCTGCTTCCAGCCAACCTCTGTAATCACACTGTTTATTTTAAGCCTATTGCCTCTGGACAACTTCCAGCTTTCTATACTCCATATCTAAGTTTCTTCATAGGCGGACTTTCCCCCACTAGTCACCGCGGTACCACTTGGCCATTGGTGCCACTTGGCCATCGCCCGGGTCCCCAGACACGTTTTCTGGGTGTGCGGCTCCCGCCGCGCCGCCCTGACTTGCGACAGGTCCGGCCTTCCTGTCTCAGAAACTGACCCGCAGTCCTGATCCTCCAGCCCTCCCGCAGCGGCACTCCCTTCCCGGGTCCCCGGCTAATCAGTCTGAAAGCAATTCCGAAGCCCCAAGTGCGCCCAGTCCACCGCCACCCACCCTGAGACCCAACCATCTGGGCTTCCCGGAGGCCCAAGCCCGCCTCCCCGGGACCCGATTATTCCCAGCCCGGATCATGAGAAGCCGGCGCTGCATCTGCTCACCACGGCGGCGGTGGTGAGGACGCAGGCGGTGGTGTAGGCGCGGCTGACCGGTGGGATCTGCAGGTACTCCAGCCGGAGGCTCTGGTACGCCATCTTCCCCACCGCCGCCTGCCCCCGCCCCACTTCCCCTTCCGCCAGTCAGCCCAGCGGCGGGGCGGGGCCAAAGAGGCCTCCCGTTACCCTGCCCGCTGCCGTCCAATCGGCGCCGCGCAGCCTGCCAATCACCAATTGCAGGAGCCCTAAGGAAAGCCATTCGCCAATCAGGAGTTGCGTCTCGGCGGCGACCGAGCCTGGCTTCCTCACCCGCCCACGTCACTGAGAGGAGAGTCAGTGCAGTTTCCTTCCGCCAATCCCCGCGGGCCACAGCTAGCTGGCTCGCCCGGCCCCCTGTCAGTCACCGACCGAGCAGCCAGCCAATCAGGAGCGCGGCATCATCCCGCCTTGGTTCTCGTTCGCTGAGGCGGGCATCGTTCGGTGTTTTGAGCCGCCGCGCCACCGATCTCCGGCAGCGAGAGGTGGTTGAAAGGAGGTGGCGGGAAACCACTGTTTGATCGAAATTGCCTCCCTCACGGTCGCTTCGGTAAGTGCCGCGGGGCTGCACTTTCTCACAGGAAGGGAGGGGAGGAGCGGAACTGGGTGAGGCATCACCGCGGGGCTCTGCAGCCGCCTGGCCGGCGGGGCCTCCGACCTGAAGGTCCCGGCATGCAGCGGGGTCGCGGGGCCCGACGGGAGCCGGTCCTCCGGCCGGAAGGAGTTCCTGCTGGGCTGTTTCTGCAACTCTGTCGACTCAGTTCGTGGAGGTATTCCGGTCACCTCCTGTGTTTACTCTGCAAATACTGATTAAGCCGCCTTTGTCCTGCCCCGAGGAAGTCTAGGGCCAGCAGGGAAGCTGAGAAGGGCCCGTGATAACATCCTGAAGCGGAACTCGGTCGGTGCCTGAAGAAAGGCCCTGATCGTGTTCAGGGGAGGGGGTGCGCCACCAAGGACGTGTGTTTAAACTGACCCCTGAAGGAGGTTTGGCCACGACATCTCACCTTGAAGGGAAGACGTCACAGGGGAAAAATAGTTCGGTTTGGTTGGGAAGAGTAGTCAGATCTTGACAAACGAATAAGGAAGCGCTCAAAGTTTAGGAATAGGGAGTGGCCATCAAATCTGGTAGTATGTAAGGAAGGAACCAAACCAAAGGGTGAAGAGAGTGGTTTTTACAAAGGATATGAACGGGTGTTCACGGGAGGAGAACCCAAAAAGCTAACATGTAGGAAGCAGTACCCAATTTACTGGTAATCAGAGAAATGCACTAAAAATATTTTTGCCTGCTCCTCAAATATCGCCCTCACAATCTTGATAAAAGAATGCTTCATGTACCGCTTACCCTGGTAAGGAAGAACAACGGGCCTTGAAAGGGCTTTGGCCGTGTCTCCTAGGGAAGAAAGGCAAGATGGGAATGTTTTGAGAACTGCAAGTTCGGTTAAGATGGACCTTTCAATTTGGGGGCTTGATTAGGATTGGATAGAGACCGTGACACGACAGTACAGGATTGGCAGAAACAGCCGAGGCAGGGGTTTCAGAGAACCTTAGGTTCTGCTTGTTGATGCGTCCCATTGAAGAGCTGATCCACCTTTGGGGTAGTTCAAGCCATTAGAACAATGAAAATAGACTGGTTTCCTAGAATAGGAAAGTCACGCTAATGTAAACAGTAAATTGCTTGTTGGGGTCGGGGAGTGTAGGTAGTTTCAGTCCTCAGTATCCAACTCGTGTGTGGGGCTAGATGGTTTTGGTTCTCAAAACACAACACTAAAGCAATTGTATGTCTACCAGATTGGTAAAAATTAGAATGCTTAATGGTGTTGGCAAAGATGTGAGAAATTCTCACATACTGTAAGTGAGAGTGTAATTCATTGTAGGACATCCCCACCCCCAGCAATGCTCTAAACATTTTGGCAGTATTTAGTGAAATTATGAGAAAAGTCTTTGGCCAGCAATTACTTGCCTGTGTAAATACCCTCAAAGTCCCTAAGGAGAAACCATAGAAGGGTGTTTATTACAGTATCATTTCTGGTAGTAAGGTGCTGAAAGCAAACTAGGTGTTTGTCACAAGGAGAATGGACTTTAAGTGTGGTATGTGCATATAATAAAATTGTTGGTATACTTCAGCCAGAACCAATGAGGTAAACTGAAGGATAATAACGAAGTGATTGCAAACATAAAGGGAAATGTAAACATACATATGCAAAACTGTATTTTTCAACAACATATATATCTAAAACCTGTTAAAGTTGAATTAACATTAAAGACAAATTGAAAAAAGCATATTTAGAAACATTAGAGGGGGGTTGGGGAGGGATTGAGCAAAAAAGAAAAGTAGAACTCATGGACATGGATAACTGTGGTGATTGCTGGGAGAGGGGTGGAGGTGGAAGAGGGCATAGAGGGGATAAATGGTGATGCAAGCAAAACAAAAGTTAGAGTAGGTTCCTAAGGGAGATGTAAGGTAGAAGAATAAAATAAGTAAGAGAAGACCTCGCCTGAAGTAAAAATAGAGTGAGTGAAATAGGAAGTATTATCTATCAGCTCGATTGTGAACATGTGAAGTCTTTAAAACACAGAATGTGGTTAGTAAGGGTTGGGTGATGAAGGCCCTTGCAAGCCATGTTGAAAGAGTTTTGAACTTGATCCTGAAGCATAGGGCAGTGTTGAGGAAATAAAAACCCTGCCAACCCAGAGACTCCTCTCCATAACATATAGAAAAGAAAGTAGTTTTATTAATGAATAGTCATATTCAGATTACAATGCACTGTAGATAATTTGGGTGAGATTACAAAGACAGAAAGGAATTCTACCTTATTTATGCAGCCAAGTAATTATGGCCATTCTATTTTAGTCATTGCATATATAAATTCTCAAAATTAATGGCATCTTGTCTTCTTATAAAAAGATTTGACCATACCATTTGCTTCAAATCCTATTTAATAAAAGGCTAATATGCAAATTGTCCCCAGGGAGCAGGGTTGGCCCACCAACTGTCCGCAGCCCCTCCCCCTGACCAGCCCCGCCCACAACTCCCTCCCCCTCCCCCCCGCCCCTGATTGGGGGGGGGAGGGCAGGCCTGCCAGCCAACCTCCCGAATCCCCTTCCTGGTTGTGCACGAATTCATGCACGAATTCGTGCACTGGGCCTCTAGTTCTTTCATAAAGTTCATCCATCCTAAATTCATCTGGTAACTGAGGTATCCATTTATTTTGCTAATTGTCTTTATCTGAAGGAATAATGAAACTTCTCTTATTTCTACAACAAGCATCTGATTATAGCTCAGAAAAAAAGTGCCTAGTGTCACTCTCACAGTGACAAGGAGATAGGAAAGCTATTTTCCGAGATGTTTACAGTGTAAAGTAAAGACTTCTAGACCCTTGAAAAAACACATTGAAAGGTTGTAAAGCTGACAAGGCACTTGTTTAGCTACTAACTGCGATTTTTTTCCCTGTTGGCTAGGTTGGAAGGACAGGGAGTTGAGGACATTGGCAAGGGAGTGGTTAAAGTGATGAATGGTGGAGCCTAAAATGGATAGGGAAAGAAGTGAAGTGGGACAGACTGAGTGCAAGAAAGAGAGGATCAGAGGGTTGAAAGTCTTGATGATTAAGGTGTAATGTGAGTACGTGAACGAGAGTTGGAAGAATAGCATAAGAAGTTGTCAGAAAATAGGGCATTTGGGCCAAAACCGGTTTGGCTCAGTGGATAGAGCGTCGGCCTGCGGACTGAAAGGTCCCAGGTTCGATTCCGGTCAAGGGCATGCACCTGGGTTGCGGGCATATCCCCAGTGGGAGATGTGCAGGAGGCAGCTGATCGATGTTTCTCTCTCATCGATGTTTCTAACTCTCTATCTCTCTCCCTTCCTCTCTGTAAAAATTCAATAAAATATATTTAAAAAAAAAAAAAAAAGAAAAGAAAATAGGGCATTTGGGGAGAGAATTTGCAAATATCAAGAGCCAGGTGGCCAAAAGAGTGAAGCCATTGAATCTCATGAAACTGTGTCTCTAGGGCTGCTTAGGTTATTTGTCTAAATTTGAATGTTTTCTAGGATGATAACAGATTTCAGAAGACTGAACCACAGGCCAGAGTCCTCAATAAATGAGAGGTAAGGAAAGTGAGAGTCTAAGGGAGGTTATAGACGGATGGAAACAGCCTCAGAGAGAGGCAAGGGTTGGCATCCTGTTGTGGATGAGTGAGGCTGGAATTGGCATTGGGCATCAAGGAACACAAACTTTTCTCTCTATAATGTCATTTATTACTTTCTTCAGATGATGTAATCTAATGATATTTCCTTTACATTTGCAGATTTTTCACAATCAAAATTAACAGCAAAAGAAGTCAAGATGTCTGTCGATCCAATGACCTATGAGGCCCAGTTCTTTGGCTTCACACCACAAACTTGCATGCTCAGGATCTACATTGCATTTCAAGACTACCTATTTGAAGTGATGCAGGCTGTTGAACAGGTTATTCTGAAGAAGCTGGAGGGCATCCCAAACTGTGAGATTAGCCCAGTCCAGGTTCGTAAGTGCACAGAGAAGTTTCTTTGCTTCATGAAAGGACGTTTTGATAAGCTTTTTGTCAAAATGGAGCAGCTGTTTTTACAGTGGATTTTGCGTATTCCCCCAAACATCTTGCTTCCGGAAGATAAATCTCAGGAGATGCATTCTTATAGTGAGGAAGAATTCCAGCTTCTCCAGAAAGAAATTGAACAGTTACAGGAGAAGTACAAGACTGAATTATGCACTAAGCAGGCCCTTCTTGCAGAGTTAGAAGAGCAAAAAACTGTTCAGGCCAAACTTAAACAGACATTGGCTTTGTTTGATGAGCTTGAAAATGTTGGCAGAAATCATGGGACTAGTGATTTCAGGGACAGCTTGGTGTTCCTGGCCCAGAACTCCAGAAAACTCCAGGATATTAGAGACAATGTGGAAAAGGAAAGCAAAAGACTGAAAATATCTTAATTTCTAAATAGTAAAAGGAGCCAGTCAAAAGTTGGTCTGTATATTTTGTTGGATTTTCTTTGAACTCTTGTATTCTACATTTTCCTTCTGTTTGGTCCACTCCCCTGAAGTATCTGTGTACTACTCGAAACTGATCTTTGAAGCATTTATTCCTTATAGGCCTCTAATAGGTGGGAAGGGATTCTTAATCCATTAAAGACTCATTTGGGGCTTGATAAAGAAATAAAGCTTTCCATGGCCAGTCAAAAGATATTTGTAAAAGGTGTACTTTGGTCATGAGTCCTTTGTAACCTTGATCCTTTTTACTTATTCTTTAGATGAGACCAAATGACAAAGAGGTTGAGTGGGTGGCTTCTTTTTTTTTTTTTTTTTAAATATATTTTCATTGATTTCAGAGAGGAAGGGGGAGAGAGAGAGAGAGAGAGAGAGATAGAAACATCAATGATGAGAGAGAATCATTGATTGCTGCCTCCTGCATGCCCCCACTGGGGATGTAGCCCGAAACCTGTGCCTGTGCCCTGACTGGGAATTGACCTGTGACCTCCTGGTTCATAGGTCAACACTCAACCACTCGGACACACCAGCCAGGCAAGTGGGTGGCTTCTTTATTAATCAGCCACTACACTGTGGGACAGCCAACATAGAATATGTGCTCTTGCCCATAATTTTTCTTACACCAGGAAGTTGATACGTAGTTTAAAGAAGCAAGTAACAGAAAAACAACCATAATCTTTAGTAAAGAAGAAAGAAATTTTTTTTTCTAAAATAAATTCTTTCCATGACCAAGGCCCTGATGGTGTTAAGCAATTTACTGTCTTGGAGCCCAGCAGTGGAAGACCTTCGAAAAAAAGAAGCAGATCTCACTGGAATAGAAAAGGAAGCCTGGAACATACCCAATAGCAAAGTTATGTTAACTGACTGACTGGCATTTATGCCATTTTTTGTTTGTTTCTTTGTTAATTCTCACCTGAGGATACTTTTCCATTGATTTTTAGAGAGTGGAAATGAGGGGGAGAGACAGAAGAAAGAAACATCTATGTGAGAGGGACACATCAATTAGTTGCCTCCACCAGGACCAGGGATTGAGCCTACAATCTAGGTATGTGCCCTTGACTGGAATCGAACCTGGACCTTTCAGTCCGTGTCCTGGGACCTTTCAGTCCGTGGGCCGATGCTCTATCCACTGAACCACACTAGCCAGGGCATATTTATGCCATTTTTAAATTCGTACTTCAGATAGTTTTGGAATTTTTCTTGTGCCTAATATTTAATTAACTTATGTATTCACACTCATAAGTATCAAATATTTATTACCCTCAGTGGGAAATTTTAGCTGTGTCTTTTGCTTAAATTCAATGGAGTCTGATATAGCCTTTTATAATTAATCCATGTAACATGTTAGGTCTCCCGAAAAAAAGGGAAGATTTGGCAATAGTTACTCTCAAGGTATTGCTTGTGTCTTCCTAAAGAACAGGATTTGGAGTTTCTCCTTTATGTAGAAGAGTAACATAGGGTGTTAATATTTACAATTAAATATTTATAGATTTACGAAGTCTGTGTTTACTTGGAATATGCTTATTATCAAAGAGTTCTTTTCCCAATCCTATACATGAAATACAGATGTTTTTAAAGGCTTTGATTGTCAATTTTCTGCTGTATGTAATGTCATGCTATGTTTCCTTCTTCAATATTACTTTTTACCCAAATGAAAAAAAATTTTCCCCTACATTTGTAGCTATTTAAAATCTCCTAGTATTGACTGGCTTGAATGGTGATTCCCCAAATGGTTTGTCCATGTATGTTGTGATTCCTGGAACCTGTGACTGTCCTTATTTGGAAAAATGATCTTTGCAGGTATCATTAAGTTAAGGATCCGGAGATGATCATCCTCAATTATCTGCGGAGGTGGGGTGGCTAAATCCAATGCTAAGTATTTTTTATGAGAGAAAGGCAGTGAAGGATTTGAGACAGAGGTGGAAGCACTGTGACAAAGGCAGATTGGGGTGATGCAGCCACAAGTCCAGGAATGCCAACAGCCACCATAAGCTGGAAGAGATAAAAGACATGCTCTCCCAGAGCCTGCAGAGAGTGAGGCCCTGCTAACGCTTGCTTTGGGTTTCTGGCCTCCACAACTGAGAATGCATTTCTGTTGTTTTAAGTCACTAAGTTTGTTATGGTGGCAACTGAAAACTAATGTACTTAGTGAAATTAGAATATTAAGAAATTCATAAGGATGTAGAGTGTTATTAAGGAAACAACAGCTGAGACCTGATTGGCCCCAATAGTCAGGATAATAAACACTTGGTTACCCACTCTGCTTCATTGCCGCATCTCCCATCCAGCATCAGTCTCAACCAATTTCCTGCTTCCTTCTACATTGGATCCTATGATTTTGCAGTACCAAACATTCAGTTTCCCTAAATGCCTGCTCCCAGGCTTTCCCTTGTATTTATTTATTCTCCCTTAAAATATGCCTCTTCCCAACTATATACCCCCAAATAGACTTTCCTCATCCAGTTGCTGCAGTGACAGGAACAGTTCGGGAGACAGTTTGGCATGGTATTAATGGAAAGAGAGTGGCCATTACTACCAATCTTAAAGAAATAAAAAAGAATTGTAAGGAAATACTATGCAAGAGATTCTGCACTCAATTCTGATGAGGGTTTTCCCCACACCACCAAGCAATTGTATAGGGCGCCATCTGGATATCCTATAATTCAACTCAATCTGACACTACCTACCCAGAGATAGCATCAGATTACACATGTGAAGGGCTCAGCCCTACAAAGACTGCCCTTCAAATGCCAATGACAAGCCTAGGTTGTTACCTGTGCTGACCGACTGGCTATAACTCAGAGGTTCCAGTGACCCCCTCCTTGGATTTAATTACCTCGCTAGAATGGCTCACAAACTCAGGAAACCTTTATTCACTAGATTATCACTTTATTACAAAGGATATACGATCCAGTGGCCAGGTGAAAGATACACAGGGTGAGGTTTCAAAGGAGCGTTTATCCCCATGGAGTTTGGGCGAGCATGGTGGGGTTCTGGTTACCCAACCTAGAAGCTTTCCAAACTTTCCTTTTGGGTTTTTATGGAGGCTTCATTACATAAATCATTGGACTGCTGGTGATAAAAATATAAGCTATGACAAGATAAAGTACATTTAAGTTTATAAGATGCTTTCATTTAATATTCAAGTGCAGAAAAATAGCCAGCCACATGGGCGAGTACTGGCTCGAAATAGCTGGTCAGCAAGGCTGTTCCTCTAGAGCAGGGGTGGGGTACATTTTGATATTTATATCAAAGGGCCATTTTTTTCTGCCAGGGGCCATTTTGATATTTATAACATTCGTAGGCCATATAGAATTATCAGCCTGCTATATTTGGTCAAACATTTCATTAACTCACCCTAATGCCTTGGCGGGGCCAGACCAAATGATTTTGAAGGCGGTATAAGGGCTGGACATTTCCCTCCCCCCCACCCCCACTTCCACCCCCAATATAGATAAATCACATTTTGTTTTTCCATTCACCATTTGATGAACATTTAAATTGTTTTAAACTTGGGGCTATTGTGAATAATCCTGCTATGGACTTTCATGAACAAGTCTCAGTGTGGACATAGGTTTTTACTTCTGTTGGGTGGAAACCTGGAAATGGGTCATATGGTCGGTGTACATTTAACTTTTTTTACACCTGCCAAACTGTTTCCCAAAGTAGCTGCACCATTTTACATTCCCAACAACAGTGTATGAGGGTTCTATATTTTTAAAAAATATGTTTTTATTAACTTATTTTTTTTTTTAGAGAGTAAGGGAGAGGGATAGAAAGATAGAAACATCAATGAGAGACATTGATGGGCTGCCTCCTACACACCCTCTGGGCATGTGCCCTGACCAGAACTGAACTGGGGATCTATTGGTTCAAGGGTTGATGCTCAACCACGAAGCCACACCAGCTGGGCAAGGGTTACACATTTTGTACCTCTTTGCCAACTAGAAGCTCTTATAGCTGGATTTGCTAAACTGTGAGAATGTGAGCTTGCTGATACTGTTATCAGAGAATTGCACGGGTGGAATTTCTCCATTGCTAATGGAAGTGGGGTTCTTAAGACATCTTGAGCCCTAACTGGTTTGGTTCAATGGATAGAGCATCGGCCTGCGGACTGAAGGGTCCCAGGTTCGATTCCGGTCAAGGGCATGTACCTTGGTTGCAGGCACATACCCAGTAGGGAGTGTGCAGGAGGCAGCTGATCGATGTTTCTCTCTCATCGATGTTTCTAACTCTCTAACCCTCTCCCTTCCTCTCTGTAAGAAATCAATAAAATATATTTTTTAAAAAAAGACATCTTGAGAAAAAGAGTTTTCTAAGACTCGCATGAAAGAATGAGTGATTTTTATTTGTGTATCGTTCTATCCCTTGGTTTGCAAAGTTCTATTTCCCCTAAACCAGTCCTGGGAAATGTGCAGTTGGGGCTTCAGTAGAACTAGAAGCAAAGCCAGTGTCCAGAGTTTTTGTTCCATGGTGGAGTTGAATCCGGCACAGCATCCAGCTAATTCCAGTCCATCAGTCCATTGTGTGTGGGGTCCACATGGCTGTGGGCCATGTGGGCAAATGCAGGGGAGCATGTCCCTCATCCCCCCGCAACAAGAGAGCCAGGAGCCCAGCATAAGAGAGCCAGGAGAGAGAAAGCTTCTTTGTTCAGGAGTTTATGTATCTGAGATTCCATACCCTTTCTGGCCAATACCCGGTTCCCAGGTGTGACTGACAGGTAATCTCTCCCACATCTCCCCACCTCACTGGGCATGCGTCTATTGTCCAGTCCCTTCTCTCATCGACCTGCAGTGAACAGACCTGGAGAATGTTGCAGCTTTCTGGCACTAATGGCATGCCTATATTATTTGGCCTTTCTTTTACTACTTTCTGGTTAATGAATAACCAAATTATTACAACAGTATCAATACCAACAGCCATTCATTTGTTGCATCATTTATTTAATAAGTATTACCCGAGTACTCACCATTATGTGGTAGGCTCTGGCCTTGCAAGAAGTCCCTAATCTCTGTAAGATGAGAGACAGTACCCAGGTGATACTGTTTCAGTACACTGAGCCTGGTTCCCCCTGAGCCTTTCCGTTGCAGGAGGTGGGGAGTTCCCTGATGATAGTTGGAGTTGGGTCTGCAGCAACTGGCAGGGCTTGCCAGCGCACCCGTCCAATCCACTGGGACCCAAATAAGTCCTAGTGCTGTTCTCCCCCCATTCCACGAGGGAACACCATCCAGCCTTGGAAGCCTGAGTGTAGCGGAGGTGCCAGGAGTTGGTGGTGCCAGCAGTCTGTGGCAGCACCAATAGAAGCCAGTGAAAGGCCTGGTGGATGCCAAGAGGGTGGGAGGATGGTTCAGGTGGGGAGCACAGACAGTTCAGGATACACAGATACAGATGTGGATGTAGGGAGATGGGAAAAGAAAGGGAAGAAAAGCAGCAACTCCTTGGCCATGTCCCTGGGTCTCGGGACTGTGGGAGCCTTTATTTTGTCACTGATTTTGCTTACAGTGGCTTCACAGCTTGCATTTTCCACATATATTATGTATTAGTTGTTTCATGTGAATATTCAGTTAAAAAAAAAAAAACGGACCCCCACAATAATTGTTTCTTTTAAAAGGAGAAATAAAATCTTGGGGAAGCCCTGCGCACAGCTGGGATCCTGGCTGGCTCTCCACATTTTTTCTTTCAGGTCAAGCTCCCCTTTTGCCCCTCTGGTTCCCAGCAATCAGCTCGCATTTTTTGCACAGAGACCTCCCAGACGCGGGCCCTGGAGCTCCTTGGGGTTGGAACCTGCGGGGAGCCAACATCTGCCACCAGCTGGAGGCAGAAGGAGCCAGGAGAAGCGGCACCCTGGTTGAGAGGTCCCCTGCCCGAGGAGGAGGTGCCCCCACTGGACCATTTCCCGAACCTCTCCATTTTTACAGACGCGGCTGTCACCTTCTCCATCATCTCCCGTCTGTTTACCCATACTCCTGTACAGGGTGCCTGAGGGGACAGGGTGGGCGCAGGGCCGGTGGGGGTGGGGGTGGGGGTGGGGGTGGGGGTGGGTGGGTTGAGAACGGAAAAGAAGGGCTCACACTTTGTGTTTGGGAGACACTGCGCGCGCTTTAGCTTTTTTTTTGTTTAAGAAAGTGAGATTTAAGTCTTCTGTGAGATGGCTTTTTTGTTTCGTTTTGTTTTTCCGATGGCTCATAACTTTTATAACATTTCTAAGGGAGTCACTACTCCCCAAAAGATTAAGAATCACTGCATTATTATGCCAACACCAAGACCTCAACTCCTACCTATTACCTTCAAGGCCCCACCCCATCGCAGCTCTGAGAAGCCGCCTCCTCCCACCTCCCAACCCCACGGAAGGTTCACCTGCGCCCGCGCCCGGCAGTCCACCATCCGAGCCGAGGAGAAGCGGGCTAACGTCCGATACCCGGCCGCGCCTGCACGCCGCCTGTGGTTCTTAGGAAGACCTCCACTTCCCAGTACTTTCTACCCTCGCCCACCTCCTGCTCCTCTGCGGCCAGCTCCATCCCCCCAACCCCCCTACCACCTGGTTACGGTTCCCGCGACACTGCTGTGAAGTGGAGCTCCCAGGGCTGCAACTGAAAGGGCGAGGACTACGCCCTCCATCTTACCCTGGGTCCTCCATTTTTGGGCAGAGCCATGTGCTCGGCAAGGCTTCTTCCCGGAAGCCCAAGCCTCTGCTAGCCACACCCAGGATTTCTCTGGACTAGCCAATGATAATCAAGGGAAGTGCACGCCATCAATATGACCACATCCTGTATAACGAGTTGCACCTGGCCAATCCGCGGGGCCCACAGTCCCCTCTCCTGCCCTTACTCCACCCCCCTATAAAACTCCTCTTCCCATTGGGCTAGGTCTCTTTCTGCCACTGGGGTTACCGGTGCGTCAGTGAGTGTGGCTGGGGGCCGAACTAGTTTGAATAAAGGACTCTTTGCTTTTGCATCGGACACGGCTGGCTCCCTCGCATGGTCTGTTGGGGATCTTGAAATCTGGGCATAACACAACCCTGCCCGGTTCCCAGTTCTTCAGCCCCGCTGCCCCCTCCCAGTCTTCTCCTTGGAACCAGATTTGCGCGCAACTAAGCAACAGCCCCACAGAAACATGAAAAAACACCAAACAGTGTCACTGTGTTCCCGACCCGCCGGACCGGAGGGCCTGGTTCCGCACACTCGGCGTCCCGCTTCCGAGGTCCGCGCTTTAGCCTTCCTTCCTTCCTTCCTTCCTTCCTTCCTTCCTTCCTTCCTTCCTTCCTTCCTTCCTTCCTTCCTTCCTTCCTTCCTTTCTTTCCCTCCCTCCCTCCCTCCCTCCCTCCCTCCCTCCCTCCCTCCCTCCCTCCCTTCCTTTCTTTCTATTTATTTTTGTTTCTTTTTAAATTTTTTTATTGTTTAAAGTATTACAAATAGTAGTACATATGTCTCCTTTTTTTCCCCAATTGACCTCCCCCCCCCCCGCTTCTCCCGCACATGCCCTCACCCCCCTTGTTTTTTAGCTTTTAATGTTTGTTTCTTTTCTTTTCTGCTTGTCGCTACCTTTGTCCACCAGTAGGAATGTCGAAGCAGCTGCCAATAATAAAATAAGGGTCTATGTTTGCACCTGAACGTTAGACGAGAGGGCAGTTAGGTCCCAATATTTAGAATCTTGGGGTGCAGTTGGGCCCCGTCTATAATAGGATAACGTCCGCGGACCCATCCACTTTGTGAGGTGGGGGCACGCGCAGGGAACCTGTCATTTGTGTTTAGGGCGCGCACAGCCTCCAGACTGTTCTGTAAGGGATGAGCCAACTACTGCCCGCGGCCTTCCAAAGAGGCCCGTGGAGAGGGTGGGCGCCCTGGCCCGGGCTGGGCATTGCCCAGGAGGAGGCAGCTGTGCCCGGAGCTGCGCAGACAGGTCTCTGAGCGCGGGAGCTGGGGGCCTGAGCGCTCAGGGACTTCGCGGAGTGCAGGGCACAGTGAGCGGCCTTTGTCAGGGTGGTGCGCCCTGTTCCCAGGGGTTGGGGCTGACCCGGACTGTGTGTGCTTCCTGCTTTAGGTTTCACTACAGCCACCACCATCGCTTGGGAGCTGAGCAGAGGCCCATCGCCCGAGGAGCTGTCCTGCCAGGAAGGGACGCTCCTCACTGAGTTCTGGAGGGCGGGACCAGAGGCTATAGACCTCCGGGACTCAGGCCTGCAGGCCCTTAGCTTGCGGGCTTCGCAGATGGGGGTCCTGGCTGGGGTTCTCCAGACTGTGGCGGGAAACCTTTTACCGGTGTTGGGAGGAGCCTGGCTGATGAAATCCAAGAGCTAAAGTAGCTCAGGTGAAAGGTGGTGTTCCTGTTAGGGGAGGCCAGGGACTGAGAAGGACTCAACTCTGCAGAGGGAAGGAAGGTTGGCATGTGTGTGTGTGTGTGTGTGTGTGTGTGTGTGTGTGTAATGATGGGGTGGGGGACAGTGGAGGTGGGGGACAACCTACACAACTTGTAAAAGAGCATTGTCACTTGAGAATTCATTCGTTGCTTATTCAGCAAACATTGGTTCAGTGACTGCCCTGAGCCTGCTGCTGAGGTAGGCCCTGACGGTGCACTGACACAGGGTGCTATCAGGGGAAGTAGTGGGAATGTGGTCATTGGTTTTGACTGAGGGAGTGGATATGAAAGGGTCACTTTATTAATTGTGCTGGTGCAATTGTTAACGGATACACACGATGCTGCCCAGTTAGAGGCTAGAGGCTTTGTCGGTGTTGCCAAGTTTGTATCCAAATGACACTGTGTGGTGCGGAAATTGTCTTGTGGGAGCCCGAGCAATAAAGCTCTTTTCTCTGCGCATTGACCAGCACTGAGCTCATTTTTGCACGCCCCAGGGCTGAAGCTGCCCAGTCAGGGAGGACCAAGCACCTTCCTTCCTTGAGCAAAGACAGGGATCCCTGCCCGGGTCGGACCATGTCTTCCCAGGTCTATTCTGAAGGGGGTGAGGTGTCATGGGAGCAAGGTTACAGGGAAATTCTAGGGGTGAAGAGGGGATGGCTGCTGACACTCAGGCTCTAATTAGTAGGGGCTGGCCCTGCAGGACCTAGAGTCCTTCCTCCTGGCTCTTCTCTGCCTTTTATTAACCCATCACTATCTGGGCTCATCCTTTCCTGCTCCTGCCTCCCTTTTGCAATAGCAGCACTACCCAATAGTCTACCCTTGTCTTCCCATTACTTGCAGTGGTTCTCAACCTTCCTAATGCCGCGACCCTTTAATACAGTTCCTCACATTGTGGTGACCCCCAACCATAAAATTATTTTCGTTGCTACTTCATAACTAAAATTTTGCTACTGTTATGAATCATAATGTAAATATCTGATATGCAGGATGTATTTTCAGGGTTCACGACTCAGGTTGAGAACCGCTGTGAGAGCTTATGGCTTCCTGTGCTGCCCTCTGTATTGTCTCACAAGTAAATACACTGTGCAATCTAAAACTAACATCTCCCACATATTTCTCAATCTTAGGCCCTCTGTCTACCCAGTATTCTGCCTTACTGTAGTGTAGTAGCATGATACATAAATGTAGTATCATGATATAAAAAATATAGTGTCATGATATACAAATATCTACTGGTCCGTAATAATAGGGAGGCAGTCTGGGAGACCGTGTGGCATCACTGAGCATGGACATATAATGCCCAGCAAAGGTATTATCAATGCTCCATAACTTTAGGGCAAGAAGGCAACTCAAATGGAAATGTGTTTGTTTATTTATTTATTTATCCTCACTGAGGACATGCTCAGAGAGAGGGAGAAGGAGGAAGTGTGTGTGTGTGTGTGTGTGTGTGTGTGTGTGTGAGAGAGAGAGAGAGAGAGAGAGAGAAACATAAGTAACATCAGTCAGTTGCTTTCTGCACCTGCAACCCAGGTATGTGCTCAGAAATTGAACCAGCAACCCTTTGGTGCACAGGACAACACTCAACCAGCTGAGCCACTCTGGCTGGGCAATGGCAATGTGTTTAGACTTGAAGAAACCTAGACCCAAAGCCTGGACAGTCAGAGCCAGGACTCATAAGCAGGTGTTCAGACTTCAGCTGCCGAGCTGGTCAGTAGCTCCCCTAGTCTCCTCCACTGCGTCACTTCTCCCAGAGATCAATAATTAGGTGAGGATGGGTCTCCTTCAGGGCTCGGTAGAGTTGATCTTTGCAGGCCCTGTCCCAGGACTTGCTGAAGCTGAACAGCATCCTCATCTTGTCTGGATTGGTGTGCTCAGCCCGCACCCTCTCATACTGCTCCTCACTCAGCACCTGTCCATGCAGCTTGTCTAGGACTGCGTCCACTGATGTCATTCGAGTCACCAGGTCCTCCCGATGCTGGTCCACAAAGTGCAGCGAAGTAGGGGCATCTGGGGGTGAAGGTGAGGCCAGTAATGAATAAGAAAGGGTTTCCATCACATCCTCTCCCTCTAATTCCCCAGCCTAACTCTTCACTCTCTTTATCTGCATCCCTGGCTCCTCCCTGATCCCCACACGTTGCCCAGACCACCAGAAAGGTACCTTTGCCTTCCCTCATGTCAACTTCCAGCCTAGCATTCTGCTGAGCTAAGGGTGGGGGTCAGGTTCATGATGGAGACATTTGAGATTGTTCAGTGGAAGGTGCCAGAGCCATGATGGGCAGGAATAAAAGGGATGGGGGAGAACCTTGCCCTGGGGCACACATCTCTCCAAGGACTGAACCCTTGTGAGGTTTAATGAGTCCCCTTTCTTTCTCTCCTCCCTCCCTCCAGGACCAAGTAGGATATTCCAGAACTGCCATGGCTCCTGTGGTCTCTAACAGCTGTTACTGACCTGTCAGGGTAGCTGCAGGTCTGAGGTCTCCTGGAGGAAAAGAGATATGAATAAGCATCAGTATCAATGATAGTTATTAACACAAACAATAAGCCTTGAAACTCCTACCCACTTTTCTCTTTTGAGATTTATTCTGAGAACAAGCTATAGACTAATTCTGACAGAACAAGGATTAAGGGTTGCAAGTGCCCTTAGAGACAATGTTGATGAATCATTTCTTCATGCTTATTGGGAAACAGAGGCCCAATTTTTCCCTTTACCCCCTTTTGCACAGGGTTTAATTCTGTCTTGGCCTGAATGGAACTCTGGTGAGAAATAGCTGAGACCTTTGCTAGATATTTTCAACGATGAGATCTCCTTATTCTGAGCATAAATCTACCTCCTTGACCTTTTTTGCACTTTGATCCCCACACTGTTTGTTCTGGAGTCTGATGTCAGAATCAAGAATTATCATCAAGAAAATCTTAGCACCACAGAGTAATAGGTAAATTTCAATGGAAAAAAACAAACAACAACAAAAAGGGGATTAAATAATTACTTGCATGTGGAGAGGAAGGGGGAGTCCACAGCAGCCCCTGTGGACACGGCCTGAGGTTTTGAGCCGACCCAAGTTCAGTGTGACCTGACAGTGTGGGAGGGAAGTCAAACACAGGGGCGCTCTGGTTGTGATGTTGGGAGCAGCATGTTCACTTGGATGGAGGGAGGAGGGTGTCCCATGTCCTCCATGCTGACTGGACAGTCTTAGAGTCTATCCTGACTCGTCCTCAAATGGGCACATCTACTGAGGAGGCAAAGATGTTAAAATCCAAAATGTAAGAGGAATGATGGAAGAAAATAGAGATGTTTAACTTGCATAGAAGGAGACTTAAGGGAGGCTATGATCCATCTTCAGGTACCTGAAGGGCTTTCCCATGGGGGTGGAGATAAATTCTTTTGTCAGCTCCAAAAGCAGAATTAAGAAGATCATTTAACATAAGGATAAATTATAATACTGCTACTATTTATAAAAAGGGTAGGGAACGTCTAGCCCATGGGCTGTATAAGTCCATGGAATCATTTGGTCTGGCCCTGCCAAGGCATTAGGGGTGAGCTAATTAAATGTTTGACCAAACATAGCAGGCTATTTGTGTGTGTGTGTGTGTGTGTGTGTGTGTGTGTGTGTGTGTGTGAGAGAGAGAGAGAGAGAGAGAGAGAGAGAGAGAGAGAGAGAGAGAGAAAGAATCTTCACCTGAGGATATTTTTATATTGATTTTTAGAGAGAGTGGAAGGGAGGGGGAGAGGCAGAGAGAAACATGGGTCCTGAACATGTCCAGGGATAGAGCCTGCAACCGAGGTCCGTATCCCTGACTGGAATCAAATCCAGGACCCTTCAGTCCATGGGCTGATGCTCACTGAGCCAAACTGGCTAGGGCAGTAGGATAATTTTTAACTTGATAATTTTGTATGGCTCACAAATGATGTTATACATATCCAAATGGCCCTTGCAGAAAAAAAGGTTCCCTAGCCCTAATTTTTAAGGACCACTGCATGAGATATGCATGTACATCAAGGATGTCAAACTCATGGCCTGCAGGCCACATGCAGCCCACAACGAATATTTTTGTGGCCCAGCCAATATAATGGTATGTAAGAAACGTTTTAATAAAAATTTTGTAACTTAACTTTTACAATATCCTGTTATACATAATTATTAATGACGAACTACAACTTTCGCTAATGACTGATTACATAATCGTGTTGCATTCATTTCCCTTACATGCCTTATGCGCAGGCGCACCATTTCTCTCCACTAATTCTAGCAGCAAATATTTCAGCAGCGGATTGCCACATCATTAGTATTAGACTGACTTGTTTGGTGTGCACAACAGGAAATATTTCACTTTCGGAGAATAGGAAAAACAGGTTTATTTCCATTATGCTTATTAATTTGTGAAGTTATTCAATGTCTGGTAAGTTAATGTTCAAAAAAATATTAATTTTTATTAAAATATTCTATTATTTTATGTTAACGACTCATTTATTCTAGTCCTTTCTATTCAGCATATCTCTATGAAATAAACCTATGTTTCTATGAAAATTGAAGCTTTTGTTTATTTGTGGCCCACATAAACTTAAACCTTGTTTTTTTGACCCATGTTAGCCTTGAGTTTGACATGCTTGATGTACATACTTTATTTAATCTTTCAACAGTCCTACAAGTTAGGCAATATGACCCTCTTTTTATAAATGAGGAATCTGACACTCAAAAGGGTGAAGTCATTTTCCCAAGATCACCCAGCAAGTAAGTGCCAGAGTGAGATTTAAAGGAGGTCTGATGCAGGGACTGGTTAGTCTACACCTGTGATTGTGCCTAAGCCCAGACGAGTAAAGACCATTCTCTTTCTCCTCCCTTGCAAGCCTGTTGTGGCACCTCAGGAGGCAGATTCACTATATATATTTTTGTTGTTGTTAATCCTCACCTGAGGATATTTTTTCCATTAATTTCCAGAGAGAGCAGAAGGGAGGGAGGAAAGAAAGACGTAGAGAGAGAATGAGAGTGAGAGAGAATCATTAATGTGAGAGAAATACATTGATTGGTTGCTTCCCACATGCACCCTGACTGGGGCCGGGAATCAAACCTGCAACCCAGGTATCTACCCTTGACAGGGAATTAAACTGCGATCCTTTGGTCCATGGGCTGACACTAACTACTGACCTACACTGGCGGGGGCCAGATTCACTGTGCTTTAACATTGAACATGATCTGCTTTTTCCTAGAAGGACTTTCATTTTTAAAACATGTTTTTATTATTGATTGCAGAGAGAGTAAGGGAGAGTGTGAGAGAGTTAGAAACATCAATGATGAGAGAGAATCATTGATAGGCTGCCTCCTGCATGTCCCCTACTGGGGATCGTGCCCACAACCTGGGCATGTGTCCTGACTGGGAATCAAACCACAACCTCCTGATTCATGGATCAACTCTTACCCACTGAGCAACACCAGCGGGCACTAGGAGGACTTTTGAGGGATTTTGCTTCTTGGGCGTGTTGGTGCTGGTTTAAGACACTGTAAAGTTACATTCATTCCTGAAAGTTCATTATTTGATTCCCTCTTGTCTACTTTGAAAATATCTGAATGATCCAGGTTAGTGTATGTGCTATTATAATAATTGGCTTAATTCATACAACCATATAACTGTCTAGTTCTTATTTTTTCATCTCATATCCAATCAACTGTGAGAAATTTTGCAAAATGCCTTGTGGGTGTCAAAATCTGTTAAATCAAGGGCAGTGTAGAGATACCATGGTGGATGGGAGAGAGAATGGGGCTCAGAGTCAGACCAACTTTAATTCAAATTCTAGTCACACCAACTATTATGTAACTAGAAAAAAATCGCATAACTTCTGTGGGCTATTCTCATCAGCAAATTGTGACACCACACACACACACACACACACACACACACACACACACACACACACAGAGGCAGACTCTTTTATTGATTTTCTGTTTCCCACCACAGAGCTCCCTGGACTTGTCTTGACTTTACCTGATTTCACCAAGGCCTCCCATACCACAGTCTCATCATTTTTGCTTTTAATCTGCAGCCAGATCCCTGGCCCCAGATGATCAACGTAGAACTCAGAGAAGAGCTGGGGTTTCCCAGGGCTTCGATAGCAGAGCTCCAGTTCCTGTAGAAACAGTGGTGATGTGAGAAGCCACCATTCATCCTGCAAGTGGGGTGTCTCCCCACCCGACACCTTCTTGGCCCTGCTCAGCCCCATGGGGACCCTTGGATGATCTCTACTGAAATTAATGCCACCTCAGGCACTGCTCTCTTCCTCATTTTCCACAAATCCTGACTCAGAAGGAAGAGGACATGGCTGGGTACCCCATGGATGAGTCAGGACTCACCCATAATGTAGTGCTCACACATCCTAAACCAGATCCTTCTCCCTTTATCTTGAACCAGATCCTTCTTCCTCCATCTCCCCCATCTTGAACCCAGATTCTCCTTTCTCCAGCCCAAAGCCTGTCTTCTTAATGGATCCTAAGCTTGACATACTTTTTAAAAAAATAGATAGTAACATAGTAGTTTATTATCATTATCAAGTATTATGTATTTTTTAAAATATATATATTTTTTTATTGATTTCAGAGAGGAAGGGAGAGAAAGAGAGAGAAACATCAATGATGAGAGTGAACCATTGATTGGCTACTTCCTGCACTTTGGATCGAACCTGCAACCCAGGCATCTGCCCTTGACCCGGATCGAACCTGGGACCCTTCAGTCCACAGACCAACGCTCTATCCACTGAGCCAAACTGGCTAGGGTTATTATGTGTTTTTTTAATGTAAATTCTTTATTGTTTAAAGTATTACATATATCTCCTTTCCCCCCATTGACCTTTTCCAGACCACTCCCATCTCCCAGCTTGACCCACTTTTAATCAACAGAAAATTTATATCCATCCCCTTTTCTAAATCACATTTGAGATGACTTTTGATTCCCAACTGTCTTCCAAAAATGTTCCCTCCCTAGTTTCCCCACATGCAGTAAGTGGCACTACCTCCTCCTCCTCCTCCTCCTCCTCCTCCTCCTCCTCCTCCTCCACCTCCTCCTCTTCCTTCTTCTTTTAGCTTTCTCTCTGATAAGTCAAGTTCTATTGACTGTACTTGCAACATATACCCTTAAGTGGTTCTCAACCTTCCTAATGCTGCGACCCTTTAATACCGTTCTTCATGTTGTGGTGACCCCCAACCATAAAATTATTTTCTTTGCTACTTCATAACTGTAATTTTGCTACTGTTATGAATCGTAATGTAAATATCTGATATGCAGGATGTATTTTCATTGTTCGCGAACTACAGGTTGAGAACCACTGCATCCATCAACTTATCTTCATCTCAGCTGCTTTTTCCCTAATCAAGGCCTCTGCAGCTCCTGCAGGTACCATAGCAATGGCCTTTTGATTTGTCTTTTGTTTTCACTCTTGTCTTCTTTTTTTTTTTAATTTTTTTTTTAATTTTTTATTTTTTTAATTAAATCTTTATTGTTCAGATTATTACATTTGTTCCTCTTCCCCCCCCCCATAACTCCCCTCCTCCCAGTTCCCCCCCCCACCCTCCGCCCTCACTCCCCACCCACTGTCCTCATCCATAGGTGCACGATTTTTGTCCAGTCTCTTCCCGCATCTCCCACAACCCTTTCCCCCCCAAGAATAGTCAGTCCATTCCCTTTCTATGTCCCTGATTCTATTATAATCACCAGTTCATTCTGTTCATCAGATTATTTATTCACTTGATTCTTAGATTCACTTGTTGATAGATGCATATTTGTTGTTCATAATTTGTATCTTTACCTTTTTCTTCCTCTTCCTCTTCTTAAAAGATACCTTTCAGCATTTCATATAATCCTGGTTTGGTGGTGATGAACTCCTTTAGCTTTTCCTTATCTGTGAAGCTCTTTATCTGACCTTCAATTCTGAATGATAGCTTTGCTGGATAAAGTAATCTTGTTTGTAGGTTCTTGGTATTCATCACTTTGAATATTTCTTGCCACTCCCTTCTGGCCTGCAAAGTTTCTGTTGAGAAATCAGCTGACAGTCGTATGGGTATTCCCTTGTAGGTAACTGAGTTTCTTTCTCTTGCTGTTTTTAAGATTCTCTCTTTATCTTTTGCTCTTGGCATTTTAATTATGATGTGTCTTGGTGTGGTCCTCTTTGGATTCCTTTTGTTTGGGGTTCTCCGAGCTTCTTGGACCTGTAAGTCCATTTCTTTCACCAGGTGGGGGAAGTTTTCTGTCATTATTTCTTCAAATAGGTTTTCAATATCTTGCTCTCTCTCATCTTCTGGCACCCCTATAATTCTGATGTTGGTACGCTTGAAGCTGTCCCAGAGGCTCCTTACACTATCCTCGCATTTTTTATTCTTTTTTCATTTTGCTTTTCTGGTTGGGTGTTTTTTGCTTCCTCGCATTTCAAATCATTGAATTGATTCTTGCGCTCCTCTGGTCTGCTGTCGGGAGTCTGTATAATATTCGTTATTTCAGTCCGTGTGTGCTTAATTTCTAGTTGGTTCCCCAATATAACATCGAGGGTCTCATTAGTTTTCTTGTAGATCTCATTAAGTTTATCGGCGGCTTCTAAACAGTTCTTGAGAGACCTTAAAAGTGTGGTTCTGAACTCTATATCTTCCATTGACAATTTTGTCCTGTTTCTTTGTCTCCGAATTTTGTTATGCTTCCTTGGTGCACCCCCCTAGTGGTCTTTGTTTGCAGTCTTATAGTTAAACCTTGATTGTTGTAGCTAATACCAGGGAGGGTTTGACCTCCAGGCCAAGTGGCTATGAGAATCACCTGTGTCAGCAGTGAGAGAACCTCTGTCCTCTAGGGAGGTGCTAATCTAGCCTTTGCCTGAGGCTATCTGGCAAATGGCTCTGTGCAGGGCTTGGTCGGGGCGGGTTGCACAGGATCAACAGGGCGGGCTGAGCGAGCAGTTATGGCGGCTCTCAGTCCTGTCCCCAGGGGCTCTGTCTCTCTGAGTCCCAGCACCCGCTGCAAACCTCAGAGAGAAAGCTGCACTCGCTCTGACCGAAGCCAGACAGTCCCGCTTCTCCCGTTTGAGTCTGGGTCCCTAAAGACTCGCCTGTATCTGGAGCTCAGAGTCTGCGACTCCCTCCCGATTGAAAACGCCAACTGCGCCCTCCGCCGCCAGCCCGCTCCGCGCACTCCGCACCTCAGAATTTGACTTCAGCACTGCGCCTCCTCTGAGTGTCCGTATGAGTTTCTCTTTCCTCCTAGTTGTAGGACTTCCACTCAGCCAGCGTTCCTGTGGTTCTGGGTGACGTCTGTTCCGTCTTTTAGTTTCACTTTTGAAGTAGTTGTTCAAAGCAGCAAACTCCGGCGTTAACCTATGCCGCCATCTTGGTTCTCTACCACTCTTGTCTTCTTATCACACATTCTTACCCAGCAGCCAGAGGCATCTATGTGAAACTAACTCAGGTGTTGTATTACCAAGCAACAACCTCTGAGATCTTATCATTGCACTTAGAACAAAATCCAAACTCCATATCAGGGCAGCAGAGTTGATGGGCCCTAGGAATCCTCTGTCTCTTGTGTGACTCCATCTTTCTTCTCTCTTTGCTACACTCATTAAGCTCTGCCACACTGACCTCAAATTTGTCATGTGGAGGGATTAAGGGTGCCTGCTGCTCTCTCCTCTGCACCTGAAGTGCTCTGTTACAGATATTCACCTCCCAGGACCCTTCTTGTTACTCAGGTCTCAGCTTATATGTCACTACTCAGTGGCTCTTTCCCTGACCACCCAGTATAAAGCAGCCCAAGTCACTCTCTTAAGTGACATAGTTGTGTTTTCCTCATAGCACTTCAGGTTCTAGGTCCATTTCTTTAATTATGTAGGTCTCATCCACCAGAATGTCATCTTCCCAAGGGCAGGGCCTTTATGCCTTGTTCACTGGACTATCACAAATGAAGACAGCACATGGTTGGCACTGGGTAAATGTGTGATGAATGACTTAATCATGTCTCTCATTACTTGTTAAGATATGACAGCAGGAAAATCTAAGGTATTCATTGTTGGATTCATGTTTCTCAACTCAAAAGATACATAACATTTCCTCATTACTCCTGGAAATGTATTTCATCTGTCATTGTCACTTCAAGTGGTCCAAGGACTCATCTCAGACAGAAGGGAAAAAAAAGAAAGATCGACTCTGGTTGAACTGCAAACACCATTCAGTTGAAAATCTGACCATAAGCAACAAATCTTGGCAATGGTGAACATTTGGATATCATGGATGAATGTCCAGTGGCCTGACGTCATTCCCTTTGGTGAAAGGGGAGACTGAGAAAGGATAGAAGACAGCTCCTGATGCCCAGACCTAATGTGATGCTCACGACTAAACCTCATTGTTATTACAAACTGAACTGATGCCGCCATCTCTGCTGTGTTATCCTCCTGTTGAACACATACAATCTCACAATTGCCAAACTTCCCCCCATTCCACTTCAAAATGAGCTATTTCAGCAATTATACCTTCACAATTGTGGTGCCTGCCTTTCTTAGAGAGAAAATGTGTAGAGGTTCCCAATCACAGAATTGCCCTACCTTCTCAGAATACCAAATCTCCATTTCCTTAGATCTTCCCCAAAATTACCCAACTAAGGCCCAAATCCTGAAATAGGTTCTTTCTGTGTCTCTTGATATGAGGGGCCCCACGGTTCCCATTGGTGTGTGTTCTCTCACTGCAATGAGTAATAACCCCACTGTGTTCAGCTACAGGTGTGTTCTTGTTGGTTTTGCTTGAAGAGCATCAACACCCTATAGCCCAACACTTCCAGTTCCCCTAAGTCAAACCCATTGTTATCCCTATCCTGAATATGAACCTGCCTCTTACTATCCTCCTTTCTCCCAATCTTTGAAGCATTCCTGCTTACCCAAAATTCCACTTGCTATCTGCACAACCCTAACTGGGCCTGCCCCTGGGGAAGCTCTGAAACTTGCCTCACAGCTATTCCCAAGCATGACCTCTCAGGGAGGAGGGGATATCTAGACTGCTCACCTCAGGGATTATTTCCAGCTTGTCTGAACCAGACACAGTATATCGGGAGCCCATGTAGAGTGGTGTCAGCGGAGGCGGCTTGCGTATTTGAAAAAATTGGAACTTCTTTTCTTCATCATCTATGGCCTAAAGGGGCATACAGACACTGATTAAGAAAGGGTTTCTGTGGTCTAATCCAGATACTACATCCCATGGAATCTGGTCTGAACAAGGTGAGGTGGTGTTTCCACATATTTATGTGAGTGAAGGGGTTATACCACTCATGAACTCTCCCACCCCAATGACTGCTACACAGAGATCCCCATACTTGGCCAGTGCTGTGTTCAGGGTGTGAATTGGGGCATTGCTAGAGAAGAAGTAAGAATGGAGGAGTGGGTGCAGCTCTGGGCAGGGAGCCCCTCTCATCCTTCTGACTCCTGGAAAGAAGCTGCAAAGGGTGTCTAGCAATGAGTAGTGAAGCAGTGAGCCCAGTTGGGGGAGGCCTTAGGGAACAGGAGACCAGTCCATGCCCCATACTTAAGCCCAGTTAACCCATCTAGGGGGCTCTCTGGATGCATGTCATGTCTCTGTCAGCCCATCCTGGCCTGCCCTTTTCAACTATTGGGGCAACCTTTTGAATGGTGCAGTCGCTGGGGATTAGGTAGAGGTGGAAGTTGATTTCCTTGGATTGGAGGCGATAGTAGAGCAACACATTGGCGATGACACGAATGCACAGGGCTGTCTGGATCATTCTCAGTAGAATGCCTATGGGGGAGAAGCTAGGGTTCTCCAGGACTATGTAATGTGGCTCCACACGGGCTGGCTTCTCCATGAATATCCCATACTCTTTAATGTGGGCCACTTGAAAGCAGGATATGTCCACATGTTCTCCTGAAAAGAATAAATTTGAAAGGTGAGCATTTGGTGCCCTCACTGAGTCATGTATTCCTGGGGCAGTGGGGTCCTTAGGCATAGACTCGGTGGCCTATCTGGGAACCCAGCAGGGAAGGCAGAATCCTGGGTCTGGGTCCTTTTGGGGTTGTGGGTAATAGGTTTTCCAGAGTGGGAGCATCGCGAGAAGCCACTCAAGCCAAACCTTTACAATAGCCTAGCTTCTCCATATTTTTCCTCTATGGGATTTGGCTGTGTTCTTGGCTTCTCAGCATTATTTGGTCAATGTCTTCTTTTCCTTTAATGCTTGTGTCTAATTGTTTCTAAAGTCTATGAGCTACTTGATAATATTCTTATACATTCCTTTTCTGGCCAAATCAGCCAGAATTTGTTTCTTTGACTGCAGCCAAAATCTCTGACCGTGTACCAGGTGTGGATACTGTCACCACAATAGAGAGCTTGAGGGATGAAGGCTGGTTGTGGGAGGTACACTGGTCTAAATGTCAGGATTCCTGGCTTCATCCCTGTGTTGCCTGGCAATTGCTGCAATGCAGGCCGTTTCTGGGCAGCACAGGGACATCCAGCAAGGCTCACAGGCCCTTGGTCTGCATGGGTACCAATCAGCACATGGCTGACTGATTTAATCCCAGAGTGGCTGTGGAGACTACAGCTAAAGTTTTCTCATTTATTAATTCCTTTTTATATGTGTGTGAAAAATAATATCATAGTGATGTACATCACCTGACAAAATGCAGAAATATTTACATCTGAACTTACCAAGCAGTACAACTATTATTACCATCTTTCCCTTTTCCATTAGTCTTTCTCTGCAGGAACACCTTTTCATTTTGACCGTGTCGCTTTGCCTTTCCCAAGCTGGTTTAAATTGCCCAAGAGCCTGTGGACTTTTCTAATGATGCAGTACTTGATCCCTCCTAGTGGATGTAGCATCCCTAGTTCACTGCTTCTTGTTTTAGTGTTGAGGTTGCTTCCACCTCTTTGCCATGATAGGTATTTCTTCAATGCACATGTTTCTGCAGAGAACTTTTCTATTTCCCTTGAGCTATTACCTTGGAATTGTAAGTCCCAAGAGACAAGAAAGTGTGTGAAAGGATGTGAGCAATTCTATGACTTCCCAGATTTTGCCAAATTGCTTCTCCAAGAGGTGGTGCATTTTGCACTGCCTTGGTGACACTAATTGGATGATGTCACCTCACCCTCCACAGAACTGGAATGTCCTCATGTGTCAGATGGGGGAACTGAAGCTCCTGGAGGGAAGTGCTTTTTTGAAGGTCACGAGTCAGCTACAGCCCTGGGCTGAGATCCCGGCTCTCAGACCATAGTTCACGGCACTTAAACTCTGTGCTACACTAATTTTGACTGAATTCTGGATGGTGCTGTGTGTGTATCCAACTTGCCTTCTTGCTAAGGTGACCAGCTGTCCTGGCTTGCCTAGGTCTGAGAGGGCGAAGAACTGCACGTAGGACCTCACCAATGAGGGTAAAAAGCAGCTAGTGCCAAATTCCTAAATGAGGCCACTATTAGTCACTGAGGTCATTGTTTCCAGGATAACAAGAAGCTTCAGCCCAGACAGCAGGCGACAGGGATTCCTGGGGTCTTGGTTTCCTGGCTGGGCTCAGCACAGTGAGCTACAAGGAGACTTTGTGCATTTTGCCTCTTGCTTTTTGTATAGTATCCCAAAGGGATAGTCCTGACTGGTTAAAGGGTGAGGTCCAGAATTTGGCTTAGAGAACGCTGGTGGACATGGGCTTGGGTAGACCTGAGGTGAGTATTGGTGTAGCTCTGTTCCTGGTGGTAATATACCTGGGTTAGAATCTCAACTCTGGTCAAGTATCTTCACCTCTCTGAGCTTCAATTTCCTCATAGGTTTATCAATCAAGATGACATGAGCATATATAGTATGTAGCTGATTTGCATGATATGGGACACAGAATGCTCAGTAACTGTCTACAGTTGTAATTATTAACCATGTCCCAGGACCCCTCAAAGAAAGGTGCCACCATTTGATGAATTCACTCCTGTCCCGAAATGGCTTTCAGTCTCAAAAGTTTAGGCTAGATTCCTGTATGCTTGAACAGATTCCTGTTCTTTGGGTAAATCCCATTTTCTAAATCAACCAGAAGGAGGTACAAGACTGACCAAGGCATGGCTAGGGTTCCTCATGACAGGGTGGGACCACCTTATCCACCCTCAAGATAGTATGATTTGGGAGCTGGGAGCAGGAGCTAAGGCACATCTTGTCCTCTTGGGCCCTGTTGGTACATTCTGACTCCAGACCTTAGACACATGAGGTTTTTCCTCCTGGAATACCCTGGTGTAGAGCAGGGAGTGGCTTTGTAGCCCTGAGCATCCCAAGCCAATAACAGACCTGGGCAGAGCTGAATCTATTGACTCTATTGGCCAAGTCACTATCTCCCTGGTAAAGCACTTGGAGATGCTCGAGGCCAAGGTCTCACTTTGAATATTGGGCAAAATATTTGTTGTGGTGGCATTATTCATCACCCGATAGATGGTCCCAGGTGGGAAGAATTAACCAGTCCCAGCTTGTTGTGTGGGCCCTATGCACCTTCGCCTCAACTTTTCACATGTGAATGGGCCTCTACAGAGCCTGACCTATTTCTTATCTCCCTCTGCATTCTTGGGACTGCCATCTCTTGCTCCTGTACTCAAGCTCTCCTCCTGATGAGTAGCTTGAACTGTTTACTAAACCTTTGGTCTCAACAAATTCGTCTCTTCTGGGTCTGGTCATTTCTTTGCTTTTTTAGCTTTCTCATTCTATTTATTTTTCTATTAGTTTGTAAATTCTTCTTACACACACATGCCCACACATATATACATATAAATATTATATATTTTAATGCCCATACTTAGAGCCTCAAGTAAATCAATGTCTCTACCCAGCAGTGATACTAAATATATTCAACTATTAGAATGGCATTTTAAATCAATATATCAATCTATTCGGTCATGCACTGCTGAACTATGGCAATATACTCTGAGAAAACCATCTTTTAACAATTTTGTCATAGTAAAAACATCAGAGTTCACGTACACAAACCTAGATGGTACAGAACACTACACACCTAGGCTATATGGAATACCACCATTGTATATGTGGTCTGTCATTGACCAAACCATTGATATGTGGTACATGACTATAAATGAAGCATTATAATTACTAGTATATCCCAATTTATTATATAAATAAGCTATACATATAAAAAAAGTGCATTCAACTAATATAAGCTATAACATGAGCTGTTTAAATCATTCCATCATGGTGGGGGGAGGGGAGAGGGTGTCTTGATAAAAAAAAAAATCATTCCATCATAATTCTATCAGTTTCTGTCTGAGTCATAATTTGAAATGGAGAATCGCATCAGGTTCTTCTAAGTTTCTCACTAAATTGATAGACATCATGTCTGAGGCAACCAGCATTGGCTGGGTGTGCATTTCATAGCCTGGATTGGAAAGCCTGTGCCTCAGCCCCTGCCACCAACATTGCTCCTGCTACCAAATAGGCTCAGACTTTGCTGCCTATCCCTGGGTGATGTGGAGACATGATTCCTCAGCCACAACATCCATGCCTACACATGCGCAGGCCCCATTACTTGTCTCTGTGGCAATACTGGATTATGTTGTCAGGTCACCTGTGATCTCAAAAAGTGGAGAATTTATCTTTCCTAATCAGTACTGAAATATTTCAGCATTTTAAGCCAGATGGCAGTTCTAGTGCAACCTTCACCCTCTTGTGAACTACACTAAGACCTTCGGATTCTTTAACACTCAACTTGCTATTGTTGTTGGCACTTTGTTCTCTCTCTTTTTAAAATCCCCGCACATCAGGCATTATTATTGTTGCTTTATCTAGTCATTGGTTTGTTAGATTTACCCAGATGTGTCTCAGTATCTTTGCTGATCATTTCATCTTGCATCCCATGCTTTCTATATGATCATTTTTGCCTGAAGTACATCCTTTAGAATTTCCTTCAGTAAGGATTTGTTCGTGGAAAGCTATCTTGATTTTAGTTTGTTTTAAAATGTCTATTTTAGAGGATTAAAAATGGCGGCAGAGTAAGTGGATGCTGCACAGACATGCTAACAGGAACAAACTGGAATTACAACTAAAATACAGAAAATCTTCCTGAATAATCAACAGAAAACTTGCAGGAGAGAACCCTGATACCTGAGGACTGAAAGTGGAGACTGCATAGAGACTGGTAGAAGGGGCGGAGGTGTGAAAGGGCTGCCCGGGTGTCCACAGACAGCAACCAAAGACCCAGAGAGATATCTCAGCTGTGCAGGGTTGCCACTGAGAACTCTGGGATTTAATTCCCAAGCTCCACCCCCCGCCCCCCTTGGCGCCCCCCCCCTACTCCTCCCACAGAGAGCACCAAAACTGGGAAGAATACCCACATAACATCTGGCTGTGAAAAGCAGCAGGTTGCTATCTGCCAGGGAGTGACTGCTGAAAATTCAGGCGCCCTCTTAAAGGTCCAATGCACAAAATTCCATCTGGAGCCACCCACCTTGTGCTCTGGTAGAGGGAGGGTGAAAAGGACTGCAGCTGTGAGAGCAGAAGCCAGGACTGGGGACTCAGGGGATAGAGCTCAGAAGGCAGACACCCCAAGTTTCATTCCCTCATACAGCAGAGGTCATCTTTCCCACATAGACATTTGCCTTGCCTGAGGGGAAGAGAGTTGACACACCCTATTGGAAAACACCTTGCTCTGAGGCCACTTAAGACATTAAAAATAACAATTAGCCTCCAGACAGAAGCAACTGCCCCATGTTGTTGAAAAAACTCTTGCCACACCTGAGGACGATTGCCTGAGGGGCAATTCAAGTTGGAATCCTATTAGTTGGCCTCCAGAATTTTGAGTCTTTTCCTTATCTAATTAGTCAGAAACAGCGTTTAACATTGTCCTGCACTAGAGATTGAGGGATGTAAAGGATCTAGCTAATACATAGTCACAAAC